GTTGACACCTCTACCGTTGAGACATCTACGGGTACTTCCACTTTTATGTTTGACCAGTATACAGTACCTACTAGCACAGTTACATTACCAGTACTACTGGGCATGATCTCTCAAAAAGTTACGGCACAGTTGTTGAATGGTCGTAACTTTGCTGAGTGATCTCGCTCATTCCAGATTTTCTTAGGCCGTATAGGGAAGTTTTGTTGGCTGACGGGATCTCACCCAAAACCAGTTGATGCTGACCCTGGATATTCTGCGTGGTTTTCTGAGAACTGCGCCATTCTTGGATGGTTATTTGGCTCAATGGAGCCATCTGTTTGCAGGATCCACCAGTTTCATAGCTCTGTTCTGAAGTTATGGAGTATATTATCAGAGATGTATTCTCAGTCAGAACGAGGAGTTTGTGTTTATGAGCTTTCTCAGGAGCTCTCATATGCTCGACACGGAGATATGACCGTTCAGGATTATTATGGCTATTTGACCCAGCGCTGGCTTGAGTATGAGACTCTACGTCCTCTTGCTTCTATTCCGAAGATAGAGCCCGAGGGAGTAGCATTCTTGCATACTCGAGAACAGGAGGATAGGATTCACAAGTTCCTTATGGGGCTTCGTGATGAGTTTGAGGGACCTCGTTCTCAGATCTTGTCGATGTTCACACTTCCTTCTCTTTATGAGGTATATGGGATGATTGAGCAGCATGAGCGTCGAGTCCGTATTGCATCACTTTTAGTTGCGACTTTGACTCCTTCGGCTGACCAGATGGCCCTTGCAGTTGCTGCAGGGTCTCGTTCAAGATCCTCAGTCAGGGGTGGGCAGCGTTCGGATCAGCGCCGTCAGGGTGCCCCAGATCAGCGCAGACAGGGGGATTCCCGTCAATGTGATTATTGTGGCCGACCAGGACATCTCAGGGCTACTTGCTGGAAGCTCCATCCAGAGCTTAAGCCGCCTCCTCGCAGTCGTACTGTTGCTATTGCTGAGGTACTACCACCCACTACCGCTACTCCTGCAGCTGCTACTCCACCTTGGCAGAGTGATATGGATGCTATCACTTCCCCATTAGATATACTTATGTCTGCTCCGACTTCTCAGAGTCTGACTACTGCTGCTGTCACCACTACAGGTATACCTCGTGTCGTTCACGCTTGTGCCAGTTCATCTCCTCTTTGGATGTTGGACTCGGGTGTGAATGGTCACATGACAGGTGAGGCCCATCACTTCACCACTTTTGACGAGCAGTTACATACACAGGTTTAGTTAGCAGATGGGATACATGCCCCTATTGTTAGTAGGGGTACAGTCCGCCTCCCACCTAGATGGCCTTACATTACGTTCGGTTTTTCATGCGCCAAAGTTGGCCATGAATCTATTATCTGTATATCAGTTAGCCAGAGATTTTCACTGTGCGGTTGTATTCTTATCTGATTCGTGTTATTTGCAGGACCTGAGTACCAGGAGGATTATTATCAAGGGATATAAGAAAGATGGACTGTATTATCTTGGCAATCCACCTCCAGTTTTACCAATTCCTCCACCTACATCACCTACACCTGCACCTGCTTTGTCTTTTTTTGTTCCTAGCTTGCATGCTAGTATTTTACCTAGTAGTTGTCGTTATAATTTTTCGTCACAAACTGTTCAGTTGTGGCATAATCATTTTGGACATACAAATTTTAAATATTTATGTATGTTGTTTCCTGCTTTGAGCAATGCTTGTGTCGGTGGTAAACTTGACTGTGTTATATGTTCCCTATCGAAACATGTTAGGGCCAGTTATATTCCTCGCATGCACCAGTCACCTAAGCCATTTAACCTAATACACTCTGATATTTGGAGACCCTCTCCCGTTACTGCGTTGTCAGGTGCCCGATATTATGTGACATTTATAGATGATCATACCCGTTGTACTTGGGTCTACCTTTTGCATAGAAAGTCTGATGTATTTCCTATAATCACTCAGTTTTTACAGATGATTAAGACACAATTCGATGTCATTGTTCGTGCTCTTCGTTCGGATAATGCCAAAGAATATGTGTATGATGCCTTAGTGTCTCACCTTTCTTCTCAGGGTATTCTTCAGCAACTCACTTGTCCATATACTCCTGAGCAAAATGGTGTTGCTAAAAGGAAAAATAGGAGTTTGATAGGGATGGTACGTTGTATGCTTAGAGGCATGAGGGTACCAAAATCTTATTGACATTTTGTTGTTTTAACTTCTACGTTTCTGTGCAATCGTACGCCGAGTCGTGTTCTTCAGCATAAAGCTCCCTTACAGGTCTTATTTCTTGAGCGGACACTTTTTTCGATTCCCCCTCGTGTTTATACACATGTTTTGTTCAGCATCGGTCTCCTACTCGTCATAAACTTGATGATAAAGCGATTCGTTGTATCTTTGTGGGCTATTGTCATCAATCTAAGGGATATCGGTGTTATGATCCTATCAGGCACCGTATGTATCACAGTCTAGATGTTACCTTTCTTGAGCATATTCCTTATTTTCCTCCCGGTCCTGTGTCTGCCCCTCCAGTTGATGATACTCCCTTTGATTTTTCATTACCACAAGAGTCAGAGTCATTGGTCATTATCCCTACAGGGTCATCTGTTTCTCCTCCTTCAAAGCCACTCATCCCTATCAGTATAGAGTTACCAGTCTTTCTTCCTTTGCAGGTGTATGTTCGTCACCCTCGCTCTCATCACCCTGCTGATGTCCCCTCTACCTCAGGCGATGCAGGTAATACTTCTCAGTTTGTTGAGCATACTGATGCACTTATTGTTAGTACTGATGAGATTGCAGGTGCTGAGCCAGTTCATTTACCTAATGAGACATTATCAGTGGAGGAGTATGATTTAGGGCGTCATTATCTGCGGCGTGATCGCCTTCCAGTTGATCGTTATGATTGGACCGCTAAGATTTTATATCCGATCTTTGCTTATATTTCTTATGGTGATCTGTCTCCCATATTTCGAGCTTATACTATGGCCTTATCAGATACGCCGGTTCCTCGCTCTATTTCGGAGGCTATGCGGGAGCCCCAATGGGTTCTTGCCATGCAGACAAAGATAGACGCTCTTCAGCGTAATCATACATGGCATCTTGTCTCCTTACCTTCAGGGGTGAAGCCTATTGGCTGTCGTTGGGTTTACACCCTAAAGTTTCTTGTGGATGGTACTATTGATCGTCACAAGGCTAGACTTGTGGCGAAGGGCTTTACTCAGGTATCAGGTCGTGATTTTGGTGCTATATTTGCCCCTGTGGCAAAATTGACTACTGTTCGGTTGATTATTTCTTTGGCTGCAGAGTAGTCTTGGCCTCTTCATCAATTAGATGTGAAGAATGCGTTTCTTCACGGTGATCTAGATGAGATTATTTATATGGATGCACCACCGGCTTTCGTGGTGAGGGGGAGTATGCTGGAAAGGTATGTCGACTGCGTAAGTCTCTTTATAGACTGAAACAATCGCCACGAGCCTAGTTCTCTCACTTTAGTGATGTAGTCGTACGATTGGGGTTCACCAGGTGTCATTCTGATCATATCTGCTTTATTCGACGGAATACTTCTGGACAGTATGTCATCCTTCTGGTATATGTTGATGATATTATTATTACTAGTGATGATGTTTCTAGGACTGCGCAGGTCAAGATAGACCTTGGGAAGGCCTTCGATGTGAAGGATCTTGGATTTCTACGATACTTTCTTGGGATTGAGGTTGCCCGTAGCAGCAGGGGTATTGTTCTTTCTCAGAGAAAGTATGTTTTGGATCTTCTTTCAGACACTGGGATGTTGGGGTGCAAACCGGCATCATCACCCATGATTCCAAACCTGAAGCTTACTGCTGAAGGTGAGGAGTTGAAATATCTGACAGTTTATCAAAAATTGGTAGGTAGACTTATCTACTTAGCCAATACTAGGCCGGACATTTCATTTGCAGTCAACCGAGTTAGTCAGTTCATACACAGGCCATGTCAGCCTCATCTTGATACAGTTTATCATATTCTTCGGTACCTCAAGTCTTGTCTTGGACTTAGGTTGTTTTATGCATCAGGATCTCAGATCGGTTCTCTAGCCTATTATTCAGATTCAGATTATGGGGGAGCATGTGATGGTCGATCTACTACGGGCTTCTGTGATTTTCGAGGGACTCATCTTATCTCTTGGAAGAGCAAGAAGCAGACAGTTGTCTCCCGCTCATTAGCAGAGGCAGAGTATCGGGCACTGGCACTTGGCACGTGTGAGATTATCTGGCTACGATCGATTCTTGGCAAGTTGGGTTTTTCAGTGACTGCTCCATCCACATTATATTATGATAATCGATCTGTTATTCAGCTCACTGTTGACTCTGTACTACATGAGAGGACGAAGCATATAGAGATCGATGTTCACTTTCTTCGGGAGAAGGTTAGCAGTGGTATTGTCACTCCATTGTTTGTGGGGACTAGTGATCAGGCTGCGGATGTTTTTACCAAACTTGTCAGTCTGTCTATTCTTCGGGACTCCGTTGTCAAGCTTAACTTAGTTGACATTTTTGCGCCTAGCTTGAGGGGGAGTGTTGGAGATATAGCAGCAGCCTAGTTTATTAGGGTTTTATTAAGTTTTCCTTTTTTTTACCTTTTTGTCCTTATTGTAACTCTCATTGACTATATATACGGGGGCTCTACACTTAATTTGTATCTCATTCACTCACAAATATTTCTAGTAAATCTTCTGGTGGAAAAACATAGCTAATTAGTCCTTTGGTAGTTGGTAGGGAAACCAAAGCCATAGTAATGTGATGGCAAACTATTTTAGAATAATCATATAAAAATGTAACAGCACGAAAAATAGTTGATATAAATTTGAGAAAAAGCTAAACCGAAAAAACTACAATGCACCGCATGGAAAAAACACTCCCATGTGAATAAGGTGCTCATTAGAGACAGAAATAAAGCTTCACCAATATATAAGAAACCACAAGATAGAAGGCTATAAAAAAATTAAAAAAAAAAGAACATGAATCACCGTGACTTATAAATTTCTGTTGGAAGTACTAACATCCCAGAAATTCCACAGCTGGTTATGCAAGCAACTCCAAAATGGTGCAGAGCAAAAGTCTGGCTGTCCATTGAAGGCCTCATAACTGACACCAATTTTGTTACATTCAAGGCCATCTAAGGTGAACCTGACTCTTTCAAGCAGCATCCACATAGAAAAATTGCTCCCCAAATTTTGTGGTTGACCTGTGCCACCCTTCAAGAGTAAAAACAAGAAACTCAGCAATTCAAAACCACCTGAAAAATACTAAGGCCGTCAAACTATAATTCAATCCTAATCATATGCATTGGATTGTTGGAGAACCGACATGTTAGGAGTATGAAAGTTTTCGGAACATTGGCTTGCAGCTGGTTCTAAATATGACAAAGGCAATCCTCAACTAAACTTGTTGGCTCAATGACAAGCTTCAAATCCAACAGCATAGGGTTGGCTGCAAAGTTGCCTCTAGAGGCTGTATGGAGGTTGTATCCTCTGCTAAAGCTAAGGTTATTGTAAGTTTTCTAGACATATTTGTGTTGTCTCACAGCCTCAACCACAGCCAATTTGCCCTTCTGCATCCACAGATTGACTCACTCTTGGTACTAGGGCCTTAGTCAGCCGTTGCACAGATCTCAGAGACTTTGACAAGGTAGCATTCTACATGATTGGTTAAGTACATTGATTAAAAGTTAGACAGACTCTACCACTACCCAGTGCAACCACTGTTTCCCACATGGAGAGGTGACCAAATAGAACCATGGACTAACTAGGGGTGCCACATAAACAAAGAGGAACCAAATACCAAATCAAACAAATCCGTATAGAAAAACTTGTCCATGACCTCCCAAGCCCAACTCCATCGAATTCAACCACTTATTTACAAGTAAAGATGCCCAAAGGTTTATATCCTAGTTTGGAAGGTTCCAAACACATAACTATTTATCACAAACATCAAAGGAACTTTGTATATGCACTTCTGATGCCAGAATTTTCCACTGAGAGTATAACTGACAGTAGCATACATAATTTAAAAGATAAATCTCTTTGATAAACCAAAATCCTTCTAGAGTGGCCCCAAAGTTGATTGAGAATTCTTCTAGAAAAACTAAGTATCCAATTTCCCAGTTTAGCAACAACATTTCTCGAAGAAATTAATATTGACAACTGATCATTAATAACCCAGTCAAAAACAATTTAAAGCCATAAATGGCTTTCTGCATCTTTGCCATGTTGTTAAGTAGATAAGCTAAAAATATCTATTGATCTGTTATATTTAATAAGCGGCAAACAAGATGGAGGTCTGCAAGAGCATGTATTACATAAAAACATCAATTTTCAATCAAAAATACTTGGAATGGATTTGAACCAGAAAATACAAAATAAGTGGGCCAGACTTCGTTGTTGAAATACAGAAAAATGTATACTTCCAAAGTTGGAGGTGCTCAACAAACTAACCCAAATTTGGAAATTCATATTAGAATGGAGGATATGATTAATTGCAGTAGTATAAGGACACTTATCATTATTATAGCAGTGAAGCAAGCATACCTGCCTCGGAATAACAAGGTAGTAATTATCAAATGATGGAATGTTTGTGTACCCAACGTAATCTCCAATAAGATTCACCCGAAGAAAATTATCACTGGATGTTGCAGTTCTATTCTCAGGACCCACAACCACAATCTGCCGGTAAAAATATCGATAAATATCTTCAACAGATTATTCATAATGTAGATTATCTAATTTAAATTTTAGTAGCCTTTAGCTTTCTGTATCCAACAGCTATAGCTACAGCAAACAAAACACTAGACTGTAGCATTCAGCAGCTAGCAAACAAAACATTAGATATAGATGTCGCTAAAAACAAAGCTGACCCAATTTATACGACGTAAAAGAAAGAAATAAAGAAGAAGCAGGATAAAGTTTGTTATAAAGATCAATGATCCACGACTCCTTAGTCCTTGCTCTTAATATACTTAATACAGAAAAAAAATGTTTTACTTTTTCTTAAACCAAAATTCTATGCGCGTTTTTCTTTTCATCCCTTGAATTTATCTTAAAATGAATATTAAAATGTGTTTTATACTTGACTTTTTTCACTGTCTTTTAAACTTTTTAGTCAATAAAATTTTAACTTACCCCCCCCAGCCAAAAAATAAACTGTCTATCCTTTTCTTAATATAGAATGATTGTTTACACCACAGAAGGTAACAAATAACAATGAGAAAACTAATCTGCTTCATACAGCACAATTTCAAAACAAATTTATACAAAATCATGCAATTAACTGAATGACTTATCATAAGCTATTGATATAGTCATGGCTATTTAAAAGGATGTTTGATAACTGCATACCGACAATGTTGACTTTGTCTTCACTTCAATTTGAACACTAAATCCAACGGAGAGTTGTCCAATACCAAACACATGGAACCTAAGTGGATAAGAACTGGTTATGATTATTGACTAACACAAAAAAAAAAGATGAGCAAAACAAAGCAAATGCAAGGCTTGCTCAGATTGAAGCAAATGTGGAGTGCTATCAAACCTACAAAAATAAAAGGAGTTGGATCACTAATAAATCTCTATGATCTCAACTGCTACCTTTTTTTTATCCAAGTTGTCATCTCTGTGGGATCTAACCCTTGAAAAGCTTTACCTCCAACTAAAATTATAAAATTTAAGCAACTAGTTGGGACATGTGAAGCACAATAATAAGAAAAATGAATGCAGAAACTACTAAGATGAGGTTTTTTTGTAATAATATTGAGATAAGCTCACAAAGCAGTATGGGTCATTAGGGAAATATATGACATAAATATAGCAACAGTAGATTAAACAGTTCACAAAACTAAATAACTTCACAAAAGAGAACCTTCTACTGATTTTCACAACATTTTATGTCTTACTCTTCAAACCCTTCAAAGAAATAAAGGTCCTCTTTTAAAAAAATTTAGTAAAAAATAAAAAAAAACTAGGGGTCATACCAATCACCTGGAAACCGAAGACAATGTGCAGTATTAGCCTTCCCTTTCATCAGCTTATCAACTAGTTTGACAAAAAAGAATAGATCAATTTTTTAAAATCTATAAGCTGCAACCTTCATAAAAGTTTGATGATGCCAAACGTCTGGTATCTTGAAACTTACAAAAGTTCCCACATGATGAAGGCACCCTGCGCTGGTCCCCACAAGGGCAACAAGTCGGCTGTGCAGAAAAGATCAGAAGAGGACCATCAAATACGTTAAAAAATTATCCAAAACTTTGTGAAGATAACTTAGAAGTTTGAACGTAATCAATTATAAACATTATGAAGGAAAACAAAATATACGTCAACAAACAACAAAATTTCAACCTATGGCACTACTATGAGAACCGAAAAATCGAAAGAACTTTAGAGAATGTAGAATGGTAACTTCAACACCCTTGATATTATTTCAAAGAAGATTAATATCTTTTTATGGAGCTTGAGTGACTTCACATATTAGTTAAAGCCCCTGTTGCTTTTTCTCTTTTCTCCCTCTTTTCAATCTTCGATGAGTTCAAAAAGGGTGCCAACAAAGGGACCGAACAAAGTCCAGAATAGAATACAACCACTTGCCAGCTATCTCCAAAAATCTAAAAAAAATGGAATCGCCTCATGCATCAAGCAGATAAAACTATATCCCAGTACCATCAAACATTTCAATTTTTAGTATATACATTAATATCCTCCTCTCAAAATCTCTTCTATTCCTTTCATTTCCATAACGTACCACATCAAGAAAAGAGGTGCTGTCCAAAAGTTTCTCTAGCCACCCTACTTCCCAGCATAACTTAAATACTTAGAAGAACCTTCAGAAAGCCCAGCATAACCCAGTCAAACCCAAATACGGCAAAGAACATCAAAGCTCTCTAGGATCATCACAGTGAAGCAGTAGTGTAACCAAAATTTTGACGAATGTTTTCTTGGAAATCACAAATTTTGGGTGCCTTGTGATGAAAGATCACTGAGCAGTGGGATTCAATGATATTCAAGCCCGTAAAGATAAGCTCATCGAAGGTCCTTCATTTATCTGATTCCCCTCAATAAAAAATTTGTAGATACCTCTGCAATGAAGAGGCATATAATACAGGAAAAGGAGAAGCATCCTAAAGGCTTTTCAAAGATCTTTTCATATTCGGATACTGAGGGTAGTAGAGAGCAGATTGTTTCTGTTTATGTATGCATGGCTTTGTAAACAGGAGTACTAGACAAACATGTCATGGAGACAGCCTCTCTGCACACAGTAAGGCCGCTTATGTGTAACCCTTCCCAGACCTTGCACTAGTGGAAGTCTCATGCACTAGGCTGCTCTTTTAAAAACACACAAATCAACTTAGATTTCTTCATTCGACAATTATGTCACTAGTTCTAACATCCTCGTACGATTTTATAAAACAATTATGCGCTAAGGACCAACATAAAAGGAATTGACCTAGAATAATAAGATAGACAATTGCTAATATATAAAAGTTATGTAGCAAGTGAAAAAAAAAATTCAATGCATATGATGAACGAAGAACAATATCCAAACTTGAAAATCGTACCTGTGTGTGCTCAATTATGTGACCCTTGTCATCTCTCAACCTATGTTTCACGAAGCCAGTCAGTCAAACAAACAAATGTACACTGTAATTTTAGTTTGGAATATTGAAAAAAGAAATACTACTTTCAAGTTTCACCCATGCTTTTTGAAAAGACATTTCAAAGAAACCATGTTGGCTAGTCAATAGAATCAAGGAAATAGATCAACATGTCATATGTGGCCAACAGCTAATCGTTATTTTCCTATATTTTGAACCTTGAGAAAATAAACATGGAAGATTCAGAAAACAGAAGGGATTCAGAACAAAAAATTTACACATGAGAACTGAGCAGTAAAAAAATATTCGTAGAAGTTGGACTTCAATTCCCAGTACACAACCACAAGTGTAAGGTGGCCTCATAAACCATAACGGCACACATCACAGAGAGGCTATAATTGACTTTATACATTAAGTGTACATTTTCAATATGCAACTCAGTTACCTTCTTTGTCACCTTAATAGTTTACATACATTCTTCAGAGTATTCTTATCTCTCAAGAATATGTAAGTAAAATGTTAATCATATACCAAAGCTTATAACAATAAACTTATACATATATATATATATATACACCAAAGCTTAGAGTTACACAACTACATTCAAATGAAATAATACTGCAACCATAGACATTTGACACTCAGTCCTAAAAGTGATCACAAATTTAGAGATATAAAAGTGTTCAGAAAGTGTAAGAGAAGATGATAGATTACTTGCCTCTCACATATCTTCACAACATCCTCACCAGCATCCGGCTCACATTTGCGTGTCTCAACATAATATTCCTGTGGTTTATAAGGAACATCCTACAGATGATATAAACATATGAAAGTAAAATGGGTCAGTTAACAGCTAAAAACCATCAAGTCCATAAAAAGGTAGAATGTATAACAATTAATTATTCTATACTTTTCTAACAACAAATTTATCCTAATAAATGCACTATTCTAAAGATGGCATTACTAAACATTAAACGGAACAATGATCCAAAAATGTATTTAATAGAATCACTTCAAAAAATTGTGGGGAGAGGGCTTGGCTAGTTTGGGAACCCCCCTCCCCCCCCCCCAAAAAAAAAACAAAAAAAAAAAAAAATTCTAAGGTTTTCCATTTACTAGATTAAAAAACAAAATTTTCTCAAATGAAATTCTCACCCCTTGGCCATGTTATTAACCATTCCCCCACATTACCAAGGTCATCACGCCTCTAATTCTCCAATTATCTCCCTTCAATTTCTCACTGCCTCTTACTTTTTAACTTCTCATCTTCCTCTCCCCTTCTCTATAACATTACTAGACAAATTAAAACGGTTTTGAGAGTGGGTCGGGCTGGGAGGTGGGCATGGTAGGAAGGAGTGGGGCCGTAGCCTTTACATCACATAGTCAGCCATTTTATATATCAACAAGACTCTTTACAACACAGAACAAAAAACTCACAAATACTATGAAATTAACCCAATTTACAAAATACAAAAACTCACTCGTATATAAGTCAACTGATACAACGCATATGCCGCAGATTTGTTAACAGTAATCACTGGTGGAATTCGCAGTGTTCGCATGTTGCTAGTCGAATTCTGTTCTTCCACTTCCACTAGTTCCGCTACAATGGAAGCCTCTCTCCCATTCTAAACAACCAAATTGAAATCACATTTAACTCTATATATAATTTATAGACGTTTTCATACATACAACTTTTGGAAAGAAAAATCAGAGAGAGAGAGAGAGAGAGAGAGGGTGGTATACTGATTCACTGGGGACGGCCATGTCGATGAGAATTTTTGTAGTGCAATTGAGGCTTCTGGAATCCGAAACCTTCTCGCATTTTTCGAGCTTTGATTTGGAGAGGATTTGGAGTCCGAAGATCGATTGGAGAGAGAGATGAGAGAAGAAGTATGAGAAGATGATGATGAGGGTGAAGGGTTTCATTTTGCGAATGTTGGTTGATTGGTGTAATGTGAATCTTTACAGTGGAACTGTCTGTCAGCCACACACAGGGTATTTGAGGGGGGAGACGCGAGTGACGGTTTTTGGCGGTACGTGTAAATTGTAACTGCCTCCAGCGGTTGGGCTTCGCAATTACATTCGTTTAAAGGGCCAGCGACGAACCAGGAATTTACAACTGGTCCCTAACTTTTAGGGGAATCTCACTTTGCACCCCCAAAAAAAATTTAAGACTTCTCACTTTATACCTCAAATGAATTAAAAAATACTGTAGTGTAAACCTTTTGTTTTTTGTTTGTTCCATCAAAAACTATTTTATTGACATTGATGAAACGAACAACAGACATGAAACGAACAACACACTCCCTTGTCCAGCGAAACAAACTGTCCCAACTTTTAGGTATTGCTGCTATGCGAAGAAACACCAAATATCTCAATATTCTTTTTTTTTTTTGTCGTTCAAAAACTGAGATGTTTAATTATTTAGTGGAGAGAATAATAAAAAATCTTCAAGAGTGGAAATAGTTTTTTTTGTAACAAGCCGACAAGGAAATCTTAGTCTAGGTCGTCATTCAAACAATGTCATGTCTTGTCTAATTTTCCCTCTTTTCTTTTAAGAAAAAAAGAGATTTTGAATCAAATAAAATTTATCGGAAGAAATGAGACGATCTCACTCATTCCAAATCAAAGGGGGGAATGGGTTTTCATGCCCGTCAAAGTTTCAATCAAGTATTTCTAGCCAAACAATGTTTGTGGTTGAACCAAATCCCACCTCCAACTAGGCTCGCATCCTAAAGTTTATCTATTTCTCTAATACAGATTTTATGCAGGCAAAGTAGGGCCATGACCATCCTGGATGTAGAATAGTCTATTAGTGGGAAGAACCCTCCTTTCCAAGGGCTTGAGATGGCAGATCAGTAGTGGGAGATAGAGTAAATATGTTGAATGAAAAGTGGATCCCTTTAAAAAGTTTTGTCAAAGGTTACGTGAATCAACATTTTTTTTCGCATTGTCGTAATCTGTCCAATTTCTCTATTGCTTTGGAGAGACCTCCTATTTACAATATGAACCTAGTCGTTGATATATTCACCATTGCTCCTTAAATCTTTTAATTTATTAAGGGTATAATATAGAAAAATTAATTTTTAAGAATATAAAATAAAAGTTCTTAAATCTTTTAAAATATAATGTATAATTCATCGTAAATTTTGTGTTTTTATTGTTATATCACTTGAAATACTAAATAAATAATTAGAATTAAACTTATGAACAGATAATTTTAAAAATTTGAACAAGCGATAATAAATTGATATGAGTGGATGAATTGTTACACGAGACATGATAGAACTAACTATAATCCGTGCACGAATGCATGATAAAACATAAAATTTAAACTCTCAAAAATCGATCTCACTATATTAAATAATAATTTTTTTTCTTCGTTTCTTTGATTACATTATTCAAAATTTATTTTTACCCATTATTTTCTTAGAAATATTGACGAAAATTTCTTAAAAGACGTATTTCGATAAATTTTTCTTAATATATGTATACTATCGTACACGGATAATATCTGAAATAAAATTTATGTTAAATTATTAATTAATTAAATATTAAATATGTGATAAAAATAAGTAATATGATAATTTGGGGAGAAAATGTGATAAATCGATAACCATTACGTAAATCGTTATCCTCGATCCAAATAGTTGACAAACTAGGTTGCGACCATCCAACACGATGGGGCGTACAAAGTATAAAATATAAAACAAAATAAATGTAGTGCAGATCTTTGAGCCGTGCCACGTTTGGGTTGTAAAACAATTGAATATAGTAACCTACCCATGACGCTACCCATATTCAAATCCAAAGGCCGTAACGTCCCAACGCTGCAATTCTCCACAAAATGAAGGGCAAATATGGAACAACATCAGACAAACTTTGCATGATGCTTCCACCAATCAACCTATACTTCTCACCACATCGCAACAAATAAAACTTTCTTTCCGGATTCGCCCTTCTCTTCCCTCAAGAATAACAATCAACACCTGCCTAAACTCTATGGCTTCCTTTGGCCGGCCAATACCACGTGGCAGACACCCTTTAGTCCTACGATTCGAAATTATCAGTTTGAATAAATCTCATAAATGTCCCTGAATTATGATCTTTATTTTAAATTGACTCAAAACTTTTAACTGTTTTAATTTATCCCCTAAATTATGCATTTTATTTTAATCCAGTCATTCTATTAAGATTAATTATTAAATGAGATAAATTAAAAATTAGTCTTGGAGAGATTTATCTCATTTTACCGTTAATTTTAATAGAATTTGTCTTAATAGAAAGGGTTGACTGAAATAAATTACATAATTTAGGGAAAAAATGAAATAATTAAAAGTTCAGGATTAATTTTGAATAAATGCTAAAATTTAGGGGTATTTATGAGATTTACCCAATAAGTTTTTTATCAGAAAATAATGTGCAAATACAATGCTTTGGCCAAGAGCCCATAAACTATATGCGCATTTACGCACCACAGCGACCTTCTCCGGTGCTGTCACTACGACGCCATGGACGGCGGTGAAAAGTCGGAGAACATTCTCTACCGAGCACTGGTGGATCGGTTTCGAAGTTTGGAGGCGAGTCACGCAAAGCTCAGAGAGCAATTGAATGTACTGGTTCAAGAACAAGGTGTCAAGAATTCACGGGATGATGGGACGTCAGATTCCGGCGAAGTGACGCTATACACAGGCTGGCCTTGTGTTCCCGGAGTGTTCTCGTCGGGAAGTCCGTACAGGAACGTGTTGGAGTACATGGGCCATGCAGTTCATGTTAGCAGAGTTGGCTCTGGAGAGATTATTTTCTGGTAATTAATCTGACTCTTTTTAATTAAAGAAATTAATTCATTGATTATTTTGTTTAATCACCATGTTCTTGATTCGTCGTTTTCTTCAATATTATCTCGATGTTTAATGATTTGTTTTAGAATGTCAGTACATTGAATTACGAAGTATGTGTTTATGATAGAATGGAAAAGACTATGGTAGGAATAGGAAGGGTTACTAGTACCGTACTAAAAATTAATATAATTTAATCTGATGAGGTTACGAGAAAATGGTTTGTTTGACATAGTTCTTAAAATGTTAGGATCCAACTTTTTGAGTGGCAATTTATCCTTGTGGGAGAATTGATCCAAATTGAGTAGTAACTAACAAATAAAGTAACCTTTGGCACAATATCAAACTCGGCATTGTACTTGTTCCCTTATGTATGGTGAAAAGTATATCAATGGAGCGGTTGTTTCAAATGAAAAAGAGTGTTTTGATGTGAAGGAACTTAGTTGATAAAGCCCCAATTTGATTGAATAAAGGAATGCATAGCTCTAACTAAAGGTACTTCTCCAAGGGATTGTATTTGGATATGCCATATGTCTACTTTTTTCTACTATGGGGCAGTGATGTTGGATAATACGTTCAGTAGAAGTCAGTAAGTTACTGTCAAGTGTCAACCCAATTTTTTTTTTTTTTGTCAATTGTTTAGGCTAGGCCTTTGAAATAGTGATGGTGGCTGCTGACAATGTGAATGGTTGGTGTATTGTGCCAATCAACTGGTAAGAATTGAGAATTAGCTGGAGCACCCCATGGTTATCTACTATCTAGATTTTTAGTGTGCTGGTTGACTTTTCATATAAATTGAAGGGTGTATTGTTTGATGACTCTAATGGTATTTTCTATAAATACAAATTAGTGCCATAATAGAGCAAATACAGGAAATGACAACCATCAAGTTTAACTGAGGGCATTCCATAATATTATTGTAGAGATTCTTTAAGGGGTTTGTAACTTTAATGTCATATAGACTAAATTGACCTTTCACTATCCACTAAATACCCAAATTGTTATAGTAAGTTCACTAATCTGCACATGATTAGTAAGCGTGTTATCTCCTTGAAAGGCGACAAAATGTGCATATTGTTTTATTGTCAGGCATGGCCTTTTGACAGATTTCATTGTCTCTAATTTGTAGCAAAACCCATAGCTGATCTAAAACGTACAAATTTTTTGCTATCTGTGTGCCCCAAATTGAATTATGTAAATGTAGGGGAGCAAATACATCCACCTTTTGGTTGTTATGACTGCTTTGCACAGTTTCAGTTATAAAATTTGAGATTGGTTAAAAGGGATATATGTGAACATACAGAACATTGTTTGAATGTTATTTATGGCTTAGTCAAGGATCAAAATATCGTTTCGAAACGATTGAAACATTCGAAACGTTTCCATTTCTAAGGAGACCGAAACGATTCAGTGATGAAATCAAAATTCTAATGCTTCGAGGTCTCCATAATATTTCGAAATATTGTTATATTTTAATGAATTTGCACAATTATTTCGAAATATTGCAAGGTATTTTAAGATATTTTGGTATATTTTGACCAATGTTTTGAAAAAATAATTATTAAATTTTTATTTTTTTTATTCTGTTTTTGAAACGGGTCGAAACGTTTCCGAAACATGTTGAAAGGTTTCCGTTTTCTAAGTGACCGAGACAATGTACCAAAACAAAATTTTGATCATTGGGCTTAGTATTGGATGCAAGGCTTAATTACTTGGATCCCTTGCCAGATGCCAATGCCAGTGCCCATGTGACTTACATGCTTGGAACTTCTTTTCTTCTCAAAACCATAGATTGCTTTAATGTTTATGAGTAGGAGCAGTACGTTCTATAACTTAGACTCTGAAGATTCTTGGTGCATACTTGGAACCAATCTGCATTCCATCTGACAATTGGCTGTTTGAATGCTAAATATAATGACAAGAGGCCCTGCTTGTTATAAGCTATCTATAAATATTCGGTCCAATGACATTCCACATTTGTGTTAAGAAAATTTGTCATAACAGGAACCGGTCTGCTGAAAAACTTTATGGATATAAGGACTATGAAGTACTTGGACAAAGAGCTGAAGAGCTGCTTATTGATGAAGAGCATTACACTTCCGCAAAGAAAATCATGGAAGCGTTGAGCTTTGGTCAATCTTGGTCAGGTCAGTTCCCCTTTAAGAAGAGGTCCGGGGAGATTTTTATGGCGATAGTGACAAAAAGCCCATTATATGAGGATGGTGAGCTTGTTGGTATTATCACTGTCTCAAGTGATGCGGTTGTATTTAACAATAAAAACTCTGAAAACATGAGAACGCATCAGGATCGTCCTAATGGCCAACCTAAAGTACAGGGAATAAATATGAAAAAGATGCAGTGGCATCCACGTCCACAGATTGCTTCCTCTGTTTCCAATCTGGTGCTTATTTGTTTTACTATTACATTTGCTTTTCAGTTTGTTTTTGTTGTTCCTTTCTTTTCAGATTCTGAATGAGTCTGACACTAATGCTATCAAACTAATCAGGCCTCAAAAGTTCTGTTTCGAAAACGAATGGATGATGAATGCAATGCATGTGGAATTGCCGGAGACAGAGAGAAGACAGTACATGATGCTCACAATGTTAGATATGAGAAACCATCCCAAACACCAGTAAGTTTTTATTCAAAGTCACCTGAATTTCACTTGAAACTAAGGACACGCATAATGAAATTTTATTCTTCCAGACAGCAAAGCCTAGTTTCAGTTTGCACATTGACAAAAGCACAACTGATGCAGCCAGCTCCGAGAAGGATGAATCTTCATCCGAATTTGCTCAGCCATCTAGAATAGTATGTATGCTTTCCCTTGTTTTTTTTGTTTGCGTTAAGTGCAATTAACATGGATTGTAATTCATCCTGGTTAACAAATGCGGTAGAGGTATTTCCAGAAATTCTGAAAATTTTGCAGAACTTTGTGACATCAGAAGCCAAATGAAGGTTATGGTTGCATGATCATGTGAAATGGATAGTGTCTGCTAAACTACCTATTTCTTATTCCTGTAGGCTGTGAAGGTCCTATCGAAATTGCCTATTCGGGGAATTGGTAACCTGGGAAAAGTCAAGAATGAGAGTACTCGACAGAATGTTTCCAATGATAGTAAGGTGAGGAAGGACTCATATACTCAAAGAGCTTCCGAGGAAACTTCATGCCACTCTGGTGATTATGGTGGTCATGAGGAAGATAACTCCCAGAAAGAAACTCCCTTTGCTGCAGAAAGCACATATGCACATGTAAATTCAGAAACGATTGCCACGGGTAATGAGGAGGGTTCTTCTGTTGAAGCCTTGGCAAGAGACTCCAATCAGTGCTCTGAGGTGCCTGGACGCAAATATTGGTTGTCAAAGTCAGGTTTCCCATTGGATGCAAAGGAGTTGGTGTCGGATATACAAAGTTCGGAGTTCCTGGAGATAGACAATGCAGTGCAACGGCATCCAGATGCTCAACAGTTCCCAAGTTCAGGGGGTAGCGTTGGCAGCATCCATGAAAGTTCATCAAGCAAAGATGAAAATGAGTCAAACTTGGTAGTGGCTTCTGAAATTCGTTGGGAAGACCTACGTTTGCTAGAGGAGGTTGGACAAGGTAAAGTTGAAGGGACTCAAACTCCCTGGATGATATATTATTCATTTGTATATGTTTTATGTTTTTTGTATATAGTGACATTGGCTAAAGTTTGGTTGGTGAAGTAGATGTCTGAGGGGACAGGCACCCATTATTCTTTCAATATAATCGTATTCAACTTCGATTTCTCTGTTCAGGTTCATTTGCTGTTGTGTATCGTGGAATCTGGAACGGATCGGTACATTTTAAAAATCTCATAATTTCTTAACATTCTCATACCAAAGAGGAAAATTGAGTCAGTATCTCATCTGGGCGTCGTTATTATTGTTTTATTTGGTTTTGGATTTTTTGTTAGGATGTTGCCGTTAAGGTTTATTTTGGGAATCAATACAGTGAGGACACTTTAGTTGACTACAGGAAAGAGGTATAACAACCAGAAAGTATAATAATTGTCAGTGAAGTCTTTATGAAACAATGCCTGAGTTCCTATTTTAATATGCATGTAATTCAGATCAATATAATGAGAAGACTGAGGCATCCGAATGTGTTGCTGTTTATGGGACCAGTATATTCAGAGGAAAAACTGGCCATAGTGACAGAGTTCTTGCCAAGGTATCTGATTTACAGAGTCATTTTTTGCTAGGATGGTGCATCAGCTATATCACTTGCATAAACTTCACTTTACATGATCAGGGGAAGCCTCTTTAAAACACTTCACAAGAACAATCAGTCGTTAGATATCAGACGTCGTCTGAGGATGGCTCTTGATGTGGTATGTTTTCTGCTCAAATCCATAATTTGCTTTTGTTATTTTCTCATTGGATTTAATTTACTACTACTCTCTCTGTCTCTCATGCAAATAATTTTCAGTTTTTCTTCTTTGGCCACAGGCAAGAGGTATGAATTATTTGCATCACAGAAACCCACCAATAGTACATAGAGACCTAAAATCTTCGAACCTGCTTGTTGACAAAAACTGGACTGTCAAGGTAGTGTATGATGTCTTCAAATAATTGATGATTCTAGAGATTGAATACCTATCAAGACAAGTCATTCAATTGCTGTGTCAGGTTGGAGACTTTGGCCTATCAAAGTTGAAGAATGCAACCTTCTTAACTGCAAAATCTGGACGAGGAACGGTAAAGATCTTTGTTTTGTTCCTTAGTTCTGATTCGTTATAATGCAGCACATATGGTGCTAAAATGGCTGCTATATTTTTGAGTGCACTTCAATTTGAATTTCTTGTTATCGTTGTAGCCTCAGTGGATGGCACCCGAAGTCCTTCGCAATGAACCATCAAATGAGAAGTACATCCAGAAGCTAATCTTTGAGTTTTATTCTAAAATCACAAGTTCATTGCCATAATCGCCTCTCTCTAGGATTGAGTTTTGTTGAATGGATCAACCCCACATCCCCCCCCCCAAAAAAAAAAAAAAAAACCCAAAAATAATCGACAAGAAGGGACATGTTTATCCATCTTTTTACTCTTGTGTGAGTGTGGTCATGTAGAAGGCTTTGCTAATTATGTATTCTCTATGCTGGGCAGGTCAGATGTCTTCAGTTTTGGGGTCATTGTTTGGGAACTAATGACTGAATCTATACCGTGGAGCAACTTGAATTCCTTGCAGGTGTTTTTTCTCTCTTCTTGGATGTATAACTTGACTCTGTAACCCTCAGAAGACTATTGCTTTAGTTTTTGTCATGGATCTATTCTTTTTTCCACTAAACCCCTTCACTTCCACGATGAAAGGTGGTTGGAGTTGTTGGCTTCATGGATCACAGGTTGGACATACCCGAAGGCCTTGATCCCCGAGTTTCCTCCATTATCCATGACTGTTGCCAAAGGTGCAGCTCTTCCTCTACATGTGTTTATTTCTTACCTTGAACTTTGCAAGTAAAACTCAATATTATAGTTTCATATACTTTATGAGCAGCAACCCGGAACACCGCCCATCATTTGAAGACATTATTCAGAGAATGACAGACTTGATCCAGACAATTTCAGGAGTGTCAGCTAAGAGGAGCTCATAATAGCCTTAATTGCATTATATTTTCCAGACAAGCCTTTTTTTCTTTTTTCCTTATGTGGGTTCTGTATAAATTTGGCTTTGAATTCATCTCAATGGTACGGTGGGAGAATTGAAACAGATCACTAGAGTTAGGTTGGTAGAATTTACTCTCTTTTTTTTGTGCTAGAGCTGCATGGAGGCATTGTTAGTGTAACTAATATGACATAACTCGTCGTTAGTGATCATGCCATGGACAAATCACTGATCCAATTAGGGAAAGTTTGAAAGAGTTTGGGGTTCTTGACATTTAAGTTTGAGTTGCTTCTGGTACAATGATTCTGATATGCTTTCAAAATACTTATTTTGAATGTTGTTGACTACTGTGAAAGTGAATTGTGTCAATCTCATGCCATTTTGAGCTTATGAATGGATTGGGAAGACTTTTTCCTTTTCATCCAACAATCTTTTAGAGTTTCACAGCTTTGGGGAGTCGAATTTTCACCAGCAAAGGATGGTGACTACCAAATGTGGAAATGGGATGGAAATAAACAGAGCAGATCTGTGTGTAAGCATAAATGTAAGAAACATTTATACTCTGCGGGGTAAGCAGCAATAGGATTTGAGCCCGATCTCGTGATTAGGGCTGACAATTTTTAACACAATTCGAAATCGACACGAAATTAGTGAATTAAGATTAACTATTTTTTGATACGAACACGTATATGACACGACCTATAAACATGAATAATAAGTGGATTGGATTAGTGTCAAACTTAAACAACACAAAATTAACACAATTAATACGTTTAAAAAGTATTATAAGAATAAATGTTAGTTTTTTATTATATTTTATTAAGTAATGACTTAATTCTTATACACAAAAAAATATTTTAACTCATTTTTATTGTTATATTTATTAAGTTAATTTTTAATTTATAGAAAATTTTGAGCAAGATTTAATTAAGCGATAATAAAATTTTACACATAAAATTGAGCATTAAATTTTTTTATTTATGGATTACATGGGTCAACACAAAAATAAATAAGTCGATACGATACGACACGATACGAACCCAAAATAACAAGACATAAACAAGACTCGACACGATATGATTAGTTAAACGGATTGGCTAAGATTAACTAGTGCTCGACGTGAACCCAAAATTATAGGACATGAACAAGACCCTACACAATAGGATTGTCACCTCCACATGTGATGATATCATCGACCATTATACGTATAACGATCCCAAGTAAAATGGTACAAGGACAGCACAAACTTTCAATTTCAGAATCTATGAATGTACACAGGAGGAGTATAACAATTATGTGAAAAAATAAGCATTAATTTTCCACAAAAAAAAAAAAAAAATTACCGAAAAGGTTCAGAGAGTAAGATGAAACCAAGAACTGTGCAGAACCCTCTGATCAATTGTTACAGTTCCATCTCGAGGTAGGTACACAGCTCAAGTAATGACACCAACTGCAGTGATCGTTCGCATTCTCTCCCCTGAAGAGCATCACGAAGCCCAAAGTAAAACTGCAACGATTGACACGGCTTAGATGGAAATAAGTGTTTGCCATAGCAAAGCAGAAGTCACAACTTCAATAAGATTGAACAAGATACAGCAAACAAACACAAAGATTTACTACTAGTTGTTGATTTCTACAAGACTCACTAATGCATGAAAATTTAACTTTTAACAAAGCTTACCCAGCAATCACTAGAATTAGGGCAACCAGCACGAATACAAGCTGGTAAATCATGTACTTAGACTTCATGCGGGCATCAGCTAGAAGACGCTGGCCCTCCACCCAACCAAACTGGGGACGAAGTAGCAAGACAAAGCCAAGGAGAAAACCTGTCAAGAAACCTCCAATGTGTGCAAAGTTGTCGACATGAGGTAGAATTCCAACAGCCAAGTTAACCACAATGATTACCACGAGCGTAAATAAAGCTGCAGCCTACACAAGCAGACTAGGAGAAATTAATAGTGAATTTGTTTAGCTCACAGCCCAAACAAAATAATTAAATGGTATAACCATTACCCACACCAGAGCCATTTTAAAATGTCAGAATGATAAAACAATAAGCCAACCACCAATTTTGAGTTTCCTCTAAGAAAATATTCTAAATGGATATTGTTCTACCACAAGGTCTCTTGTGACTGCTTTGATCATATGGTACCATCTTAACTATCTCTGAACTCTTATTTGGAATCCATTACAGAGAGACTCAGCATTCAGCGTCAATTTGAGCTTCATGCTCTTTTTTTTACTGGGCATTTGACACAAAGATCAATACCTCCACGATGCCAAAAATCCTATTCTCATCAAAAAGAAAAAGAAAAAGAAAATGCACCTCTTATATGGAAAATTAGAGGGTGGAAATAGTCACCTTATTAGAATAAATTGTCCAGTTAGTGAGAAGCTCCGATAACATTGCTCCAAGAAGTCCGAATAAAGCACCAGAAGCACCAACAGAGATGCTGCGTTGAATGAAGAGAGAAGAGAGTATACTCCCACCAATTCCTGACAGCAGGTAGATCACGCCAACACGCACTGCCATTTCCCATAGGGCAAATAAACATGTAATGATGCATACAAATCTTTGAAAAAATGGCAGATTAACAGAGCAAGGAAAGTTCAGAGTGGGATCAAGTATGGTAACTAGGGTGTCCCAGACATCAACGAGATCAAATCAATCCTATGTCAACAAGAAATGAAGGCACAAATGCATCCACTTGCATAAGTGATTCAAAGGAGTAAGGAGCTTAGTAGTTATCACAGGATATCCAAACCCTAGGAAGACTGGTGACAGCCAAGCCACAAGTTATTGGCATAAAATTACATGCAAATATGTTAAATTCTTTCCTACACAGTAACATTATGCAAAAAAATATTATGCAGAAGTAAAGATTGGTAAAACGAAACATACCAAATCCAAATTGCTGTTCAAGGCGAATCCCAATAAACACCAAACTCAACATGTTAGCAAGCAGATGAATAACACCTGCATGCAACCAGATACAAGTTATAAGCCTCCACCCTTGATGCCCATGCACTACTTTTTCCAGTCTAGAGCTCCCAATTTTTCCAGTCTGCACAAGTAAACGTCAAATTGAAATAAGGAGCTGATGGAATTAATGCGCTTTTGGTTTTTGTATTGGCTGGAAAAATAGAAGGCAACAATAAGTTGTGGGAAGCCAGGGAGAAAATGAAAACAAATTGTCTGCAGAGTTCAAGCTTTTCTATTTATTTTGTCAGTTATTACTTCTGCTAGCATGATCAGAGCATGAACAGAATATGTGGCTCAGTTCTTCTATTGGAAGCTACTGTACAAGTATAACATAAGTGTTTGCATATACAGTTTGATGTGGAATAAAAGTAACATTATATGCTGGAACTGAAAGGAGCTTATCCAGCATAAACTAAGTACAATGTATCACAGTATTATAAGTTTACTGCTAAAACTAATATTCTACAATTATATCTTTCACAAACATGAATAAACAAAGCTCATCCAAAAACGTTGCCCACAGGAAGTTTGAACTGAAAAAGAAAAAAGAAACCCACATTTTGTTAGTGATGAGATGTAGGATCTAAAACAAGACGTATCCCAAAAATAATGTTGCAAGAAGAATTGTAAGGAAGTTTGGGACCATCTTCTAAAGAAGAAACTTTTCATCGAGCAACAAGAATGGAGTGGCAGATAAAATATATATTCAGAATCACATTATATAGTGGTTCAAATGGGAAGAAATTGATAGAGTTGATCCCTACAAGAACTGTGTTTTATCTTGAATACGTTGGGACTATTCTTTTCTGTTTTTCTTGGGAGGGGGAGAGGGGAGTGGGATATTGAAAGGAAGGACAAATCTATTCAAGGAAGTAATCACACCCTTGAGAACTTCTCTGTGAAGAAAGTGCAGTGCCCGTATAAAGGGTCCCTGGCACTCAAAACTTCATTAATTGCAGAACTGTCACACCTTTTAACCAATTCAATTAGTTACAAAAAAATGCAAGACATTTACCTAATACCACTCCCAAATTACTTTCATACTTACTGAGAGCTCGCAACCTTAAAACCAAAATTGGCATCAAACTTTAATTCAATATTACAAAAAAAAAATTGTGTTTATGACAGCAGCAAACTAGAAGACAGGATGTCCTATGAAGGAGTATTGTCATCGAGTGCTTTGAAGGAGCATTTTACCCATATTTATTGTACAGAAGAACTAAAAATGATGCAGGGATGAAAAAAAAAAAAAGAGTCAATTAACTCAATGCTTCTGGTGGGAAAAATACAATAATCACATTAAAACAGAATTTCTGAAAAGCTTGCCAAAAAGGGCAATTACTAAAACACCATCCGACATATTTCATTGTCCACTTAGAAGAAACAAATAGGGTTAAGAACAAAATGAAGGACAAAAACAACCCAAAACAATCCACTTCTCCAACCCACAGTCCAAACTCAGAGAACATCCTAATGGACACAATTAATCCAACCGAAATCAAAACAACAAGAAACAGCAGCAAATGAGAAACTGTTCCAACCAAATCCTCATTAAATTTAAAGATCTGACTACAGTAACAAAAAGTTGTTTTTCAATATTGTACTTCCTTTTTTGGTCCAACAAAAAAGTGACACTCGTGCAGCTTTTTTATTTTATTATTTACTTCATCTTAATAGGTTTCAGATCAACAATCACACATAAATCAAAAGAAGAGTTAGAAATCATTTTTCAATATGGTACTGAAAATTAATTTTAGAACCCTAGAAGGCTAGAACTATCCTACATTTATACAAAAAGGTCTGGCCAACAATATTAAACGAAATCTACATATATACATATTGCTACCATTAACCCACAAGGGCAATCTCATGAAACATATGGCCGATCAGTAGGATATTGCGCAAAACAAATTGAAAAGAAGAATTCATCAAAATATCAGCTTGAAGTCAACATCAAAACCCATGAAAAGTTCATCAAAGAAACAAACCCCAAACTCATGCTGAAAGACTCCCAATTTATTAATCAAGTGCAAACTAAATCAAATTGACGAAAAAAATAAGACATGGCTACAACAGAAAGATAATTCCCACACAAATATCCTAACATTTGCAACTACAAATTGTGTAAAACACACAAGTAGAACAGTTTCAATCAAGAAATCAAACCCATTCCAACATAAAAACACAATCTAATAGCAAAGAATGGTACCAAAATTACCAAGAAAGACTCACAATCAAGAAATTAATCTCCATCCAAATCAAACAGCAACAAAAAAAACCCAATTCAAGAGATGGGTGTGCAAGAAAAAAGAAAACTGACGCTGAAGAAGAGGGACCGAAGAGAGGATTCTCCTTGAGAGGCTGAAAAGAAAGTCTTCCAAGAAACCTAGCCACACAGCGCCCTTCAGACTCAAAATTGTTCTTGGGGCAATTGTTGACATACATGATCACAACAAACATAGCAACATTGGCCACCACTATCATTGGGACCAACCATGAAGTCCATTGAGTCTCTGTGGACTCTACATAGTATGAAGAAGAGTAATTAGTTGGTGGGTATGTGTTGCCTCTGCCCTTTGTTCCTCCTCTATTCTCCAGATCTCCATTGCCCATCATTTTCTCTCTCTCGGTCTCTATCCTCTAAGCTCACCCTTGAATAATATAGTATCCGTCTCTTTATCTCTCTGTATGTGTGTGTATACACATGGAGAAGCTGAACTGGAGAAGTAATTTTGAAGGGAGTCGGTGAAGCCTTCAACAAAATGCAAGTATTGATTGAGAGAGAGAGAGAGGTTGTATGGATCTCATCCAACTGCCAAAGATCAACAACACGGTACCTCCACGGTGATATTCAGTTGATTGTCTATTTTAGATTAATAAGTTACCTTGTCATTTCAACGTAAATGGTATGATCGAGACACACGTCTAAGGGATTGGATGCCCAACATGAATACTCAAAAAAGATTTTTTTTTTTTAATAATTTAGAGTGTTTAAATTAATTTATACGTAAAAAAAAGAGTTATACACATAAAAATTAAAAAATTTATGAGAAATAAATTCTTCATAACATAACTTAAAATAATTATTAAAATTTAAAATTAAGTTATCTGAATTTATAATTTGTTCTTATTATCATTTGAATTATTTTTTAAAATTAAAAGAGTTGTTAATGTTTCGTAATCACACATCTTTTTTTTTAAAGTAATTCCCAGACTTCTGCCCACTTTAAATATGAAAATTGCCACAAAACAACCTTAATAGAAAGGACATATCGATAGATTAACATATGTTTTTTTTTTTTTTTTTAATTAAAATGGATCGGGCCCACGCGGTTTGGAGTATGAAAGGAAAGTTATCTGTCATTGTGTTTGATTTAAAAGACAAAATGGCTGGCTCTTTCACTAGACAAAAACATAACAACAATGGGATGGGAGGATGCAAAAAGTGGACAGTATTCCCTTTCCTTTTTAACCTTTTAAACACATTCTTCAGGGTTTTGTTTTTTTCTGAGTGGTCGGTGAGGGCACACACTGTCAAAAGTACTCTAGTAGTAAGTCCAAGGAATTCAATACACAATTCATGACATTAACATAATTCTAACAATGAATCGGCTGTTTTGAATTTAATTTGAGTTACATAAGACGCGGCCGACCAAACACGACATATGCATAAGATGAATAATGTAGTTATTATAAATGAATTATATATGTCTAATAAATTTTAAGAAACATAACACAACAACATGATACAATCTAAGGTTGCCTAGGACTTATGCAGCTAAGTTGTTTGTTAAGGACCCCAAATTTTAAAGGATTTCAAAAATATTTATCTATTTAGTATAGTAAACATAATTTTTATTTTTATTTTTTTTGTATTTTAGATATAATTCAAATTTTTAGGATTTAAATTTTAAAAATTTAAATTAATATCTAATTTTGTTAGATCCAAAGTTAGTCTCTACTTAGTCAAGTCCTGATTTTAGAGGGCCTCTAAAAAATTTATCCTTTTAGCATTATAGGCCTATTTTTTTATTTTTTTTTGTTTATTTTAGATATGATTCAAATTTTTAGGGGCCAAATTCTAATAGTTCGAATAATATTTAATTTTTTTTAGGTCCCAAATTATTTATTCGTGCAAGCTTTGATTTAAGTTTGTTCTAACTTTTTTGAGTGTGTTTATAATTGTATTCCACTCACTCACGTACAAAATTTATATGCATTATTTCTTGTGGTAAAAATCTATAAAATTAGTTCCTTTTTTTTTGTCTTAATATAAAATTTCAATCCAAATAATTTATACTTGAATTGTGTTTGTTATCAAAGTTTTGTACTTCATGCGTGCACATAATTCATTGATAAAAAATGATTCTTTGCTCACATATTTTATCATTAAATTACTTGTTCAAAATTTAAATTGATAAAATCTTATATTTACGATCAACTAAGACTAAATGAATTTACTATAGTATTTATTAAAAAATATTTATTGTCAAAACTTGAATATAAAAACTTAGATTAATATTTTGCATTGTATAAAATAAAAAAATAATTTTTAAAGAAATAAAAATATAATTTATTAATAAACAAAATAATAGTAATAAGACCTCATGTAAAATTAAATTTTCACCTAAGGCCCCCACTTTACCTTGGGCAGCTCCTGATCCAACCCGACAGAATTTATTCCAGTGCACTAGTCAATATTGTTGATAAGACTACCCATTGCCATTTCCAATAGGCTGGCTACAACCCCATCCATGAACGTTTGTAATTGCCCGACTAGGAAGAAATTACAAGGGAGGAAGAACACTGTAGCTGTTCGTAGCCATTGGATTGAAATAAAGCGTTTGTGTCAGTTTCATGCATTTTCAGCCCGTACAAAGAAGATTAAACTACGTCTGTGTATGCCCTTTTATCCACCCTTTTTCTTGCCATCCAAAGTCCTTGCCATGAATATGTGGTTTCTAGGCAACTCCCCACCGCGAGGCGAGATTACTAATCACGCGGCGGAAGTTATCAATCTCTGCTATACGATGGGCAGGACAAAGCAAAACGTAAAGGTGGAAACGATTGAAGGAGTAAAACAGTTGAAACAATGATCCGCCAGTTCAATCTTCTGTTTATTCCTCGGAAAACGAAGATGTTAAAGGTTCCATCAGCTAGCTTACCGAAGAGTCAGAATAAGAATTCCATTCTTGTAGGAGGATTTCCTAGTTTCGCCAAGTGCATCTTTTATAGGTATAGATGGTGAAGTGAGAACATAAGTAACTAAATAAGCCAGATTGCAGATGCAATTGCCGAAGTCAATAAAATCATATAAACCGTTGAAGTAGCGCAAGCAGATCACCTTTATAAATAATCAAAAACAGAGGCCGGCAAATGAGGCCAGCCCATTAGTACAGAACATTCACAAAATTTCCTATCATCCCATACCTGCAGCTGAAAAGACATGGGGAATTAAGACATCAAAGAAAATCACCGTTTTCCACCACCACCACCAAGCTTAGGACCCTTTGGAGCCGCACCCTTGGTCAAGTTACCCCTGGTGGTCTTCTGTGCCTTCGCCGTCACTTCTGCTTTCTTTGCCTTCTTTTCATCCTTTGTTTTCTTGATCCTCTCCTTGATTTCTCTGAGAATATCAAATATAGTTGGCCAACAAATACTAGCTAGCGAATGCAATCCAATACAGAGGAACTACGCAAATAGATATCATCTACAAAACTTAATGCAGCATACCGCAGAGCAGCCTCACGTGCAGCATCTCTGACTTCTGGCTTCTCAGTTCTTTTCTTCTGTATAACTTCCAATGTGGCACCAACTATAGACCTCGAATAAGGCTTCTTGGTGGTCCGGCGTCTCTTCTTTACAGTTTCGGCCGCAATATCCTATAAGTGAGTCAAAATCCATCAGACCAGATCAGTAAGGCAAAGATATATTGAGCAAACCAAACACTTTAAAAAAAAGGAATTACAGAAGAAAGCAAATTAATAGGAAAAAAGCAGTAAAAATATAATTCACCTTCTTATGTTGTTTCCTGTACATAGCAGTCCAGGTAAGCTTTGATGGCTTCAGGCGGTTGTGGAAGTACCTCTTGCATTTTGAATTGATGAAGAGGAAGACCTTCAATTAAAAACACAGTCTGTATAAGTCTCGTGCACAAAAAAGATTGAGGAAGAAACTAAAAAACCTCTTTACAGCACAACAGACAGAATTAAAAAACAAACACCACAAATGAATAACTAAACTCCCAAACTCACTATCACTGTTTCAAAATTGAACATGGTGAAGGCAATTAACATAACTCACCTGTGAGTCTGAGCGGACAAATCTGATGCCTCTGCCAGGGTATATCTTGGCACCGCTGAAGCGGCAGAGTTCAGTCCTGATGAGCCATTGAGTACTGAATTAATCAGCTCTTCATTCAAAACACAGATATTCATGAAATCAAGCAGTGGTTTCAAATTGGAAAAGGCCTATATTGCCTAGTTCCAAACATGTGGTAAAGAAGGCAACAGGTATAACCAACCAACATTAAGTGTGAGACTATTCTGCCGCAGGGGCAGGAGTACCTTCACTGAGTCGCAGACACATCTTAAACCAACCCCCCCTTAAAAAAAACCCGAATAAAAACAAACAAAAAGGAAACGGAAAACTCCAATTATAGCACAGACACATCAAGCGGGCAAATGTAGGATTCAGTTTCATAGGGTCTACAAAGGCCTATGCAGCACAGAAAAGGACAGAAGACATGGACATATACAAAACATCCAGGTTGATATGGAAAAATCATAAGAGGAATTGTAAAACCTGTGCTATGAAAATATCTATATTAGTTTTTGTATATGTCAACCATTGAATTTTGATTGGTTCATTCGCAAACAATTGCATAATAAGGAAAACTAAGTTCCACATAAGACTTCACACGATATAGTGCAGTTGTCCCACAAAACTATAGAGTCCCCCCCCCCCCCCAAAAAAAAAAAAAAAAAGAAAGAAGCAGAAACACAGAGAGAGAGAAAGAGAGACCCATAGTTATTCAATCCATAACACTAGTCATATCATAAAAACCACGATGATCTGCATGAGTTAGGTGCCACCATCCACTAGTGTTTAATACTAACATTTCAGAACAATTCAAATGCCCAGGAGCTTTGGCTCATAAAATGTACAAGGAAAGAAAAATACTAGTGTCAGAATTTCCAAGTTTACTCAATGACCACAAATTAGAGCTCCGCAAACTTTCTCATAAAAAAAAATTTAATTTCATAATGCTTGTTGGTGCTTCTTAAACCAAAATAATTCAAGGAAAATAAGTCTGCAATCATCAGATCGAACAATTTCGTTTTTTTTCCCATTTCCTATAATTTAAAAAGAACCCAGTTGCACCACAGAGAAAATGGTGCGGCAGAAACATGGAAATGCATAAAAACAAACAGGTTTGATGTTATGTTCTTCCCTTCTGAAGTAATTACTTTTATCGCATCACTTGATTTCCCAGATAGCTTATAGAACGAAAAACCAATCCATAAACCTATAAACAAATACAGAAAAATTTCCATCAGTATTTTGACCTGTTCAATTTCATCCACACAACTATATAGCTATACTTTCCTACAACATGTTTTTTCATCTACGCTATCACTGTTTAATGGGGTCTCTTACAGATCAAAGGCTCACAGCCATACATGAGAGAGAGAGAGAGAGAGAGAGAGAGAGACGTACTTGAGAACCATGTTATCTGCTGCTGAATTCGCCGCTCTTCTTCACCCTGAAGGTTGCCCTAAACCCTAGACGCAAGTGACCAATTTAACTGTGAAACTGTGGTGCTTCCACCTTCGGGAATTACGGCGCCGTTTCCCTCGTACTTGCCCCCATTCTGGCTATCTGGACCCGTCCTAGGACACGTTATGGGCTGATGGCTACTAAGCCCAACCACAGCCAATAAGCTGTTTCGGGGCCCGAAAAAGGTAAGTTGTTTGGCAAAGAGTTATTGGTTAAAATCCTGAACTCATGCCTTAGACCGAGTTAGCTCGGCTCTGAATCGAATGTTTCATATTTTGAGTTGAGTTTGAGTTAAGTTATTAGTTTTCTCGACCCATCTGAATTACACTCTTATCATAATGTACGAGTACAGATGGATCATAGAAGCTTTTAACCAAAATACAATGCTTTTAACCAAAATACAAAGTTTTACAATTTTTATTAAATTATGTTAGTTTTTACTATCCCACTCTATTGAATTATATAGTTTTTGTAAAATTAGTTTTCAATAAAAAAAAAAATTAAACTTTTTTGACTTTTTTTTTTTTACAAAAAAACGTGGGTTGCTCGGTAAGTAGATAAAAAAGAATAAAGTCATCGTTAAAAAACTTGTAAAATCCACGATATTGTGATTATTGATTATGAATAAGTAAAAAAAATTATTAAATTAAGAGAATTATTGTGATTTTTTTTAATTAAAAGTTTTATTATGAAATTGAATGATGATACAAAGCAGTTTAAATAGGTTTATAATTGTATCCATGTTGAGGTAAATAAAGAAACACTAATTAATTGCATAATTCAAAGAACTAATTATTTTATAATATCTTCGCATTTATCACGTGACAACGTCTTTGATTTTACAATCATTCCTTCAACCACTCCCTTTAAAATGCTCTTGGTTCTTTAAAAAAACCGAAAAAAAAATTAGGATTAATTTCAAATTACAATCTAAAAGTTATGCGAATCTCAATTTATATCATTAAAAAAAAAATTAATTTGCAATTTCAAAGATAAAAATCTATATTAATGAGTTTCTCAAGCTAACAGTCGTCAATTGTTGTCTAAAATTAAATGAATAAATTATACTTAGACCCTCTTATGTTTATCACTTAATCACCTAGACCCCACATTTAAAATATTACACTTACATTTATTTAGAATTCAAATATGACTAAAAATGTTCTCCCAATTGGGCATTAAATTAATTCTGTTTAAGTAATATATTGCATTGAATATAAAGAATATTATATAAATATTTGTATTATATTGGTTATTCAAATGGTAAGCTTGATTTTGAACTTTAAACTATAATGGACCCATAGAATAAAGGATAGTGTGAAAATTATAATTTTTTATTAGAATAAAATCATATTTTTTAACGATTATATTAACATATATCAACGACAAGAATTTATATGTTGCAAATGCACAAACATCAAAAGGTATATGAGTAATATTCCAAATGTGAGGAATCCAAATTATTAAGTGACAAGTATGAAGAGATCTAAATGTAATTTATCCATTTTATTTTAGATAGTAAATTAAGGACTGTTAGTTTCAGGTGTGTATTAATACAAATTTTTGTCTTTGAGGGTGCAATTTGTGAATAACCCAAAATTTTATTTGGTATCATACTTTCATTTATTACATTTATATATACTTCTATTATTATTATGAGTGTTTTTATCATTGTTGCAGTAATTAAAAACATAGTAAAAATAATTATCACAACAATGGTAAAAACACCCACAACGGTGACAAAAATATCCACAACTAGTGATAACATTTTTTTTGTATAGAAAAAAATGATAAAAATAATTATCACAATAATAATAAAACACTCACAATAGTGATACAAACATCTATAAAAGTACATAATAATTTTTTTAGTTATAAAATAATCCACAAATTATAAAATCACACATTAAAATAATAAATTTTAAAGATACAATATCAAATTTTATTTATCGGTATCATAGACAAGTCCACGAGAGTAAAGTCAAAGTCATCATAATTCTTATACTTAAGATTGAATAAACAAAGGATAATATTTGATAATTACAATCATTAATTTTATTATGAGTCTTAGTATTTATTATGATTCACTATCTATTTAATAATTTTTATTATTAAGTACTCATTTTAATTTTAAGTCCAAAGTTCTTTATTGACAACATTACCATCACTCACCTCTCATCAGATTCTTCCAAAAATATTATTTTATGCCTCCTCACATGGAGTAGGTGTTCCTAATCCAACATAAAAATATTATTTTATTCTCTCTTTGTTTGGTAGGAAAAAATTTTTTTTTTTATGTGTGAAAAAATAGACAAGTGGAAGACAGTATCAGTGTGTAAAACAAACTATAAGAGCAATATAAGGGCTGGAGATGCTCCAATAAATTTTTATTTATTTTATTTTTAATTTTGTAGCATAAATTTTGATAAGTTAAAAAAATTTAATTCATCCCATTTCCCATTATTTATGTATATATTTTTTGCCAAATATTTTTATCTATTCATTCAACTTCATATTTTTATAACTTTTTATCCTTTGGAACTAAATAAAAAAAATATTTATTACAATAGTGATATCACGTTAGAATTGTCACATGATATTACTAATTAATAACATGTAAATAAATAAGAAAATATATCTCACACAAATTAATAACTCTCTCTTAGAGCAACTTCAACTCAATTCTCTATTTTAACTACTCAAAATATATTTAAACATTACATTATCTATTTTAGAGAGTCACTTTTTACAAGTTCACTCCAATTATTCTCTGTGTGTGTATATATGTATATATATATATATATATATATATATATATATATTACATGGATGAACGATTATTTAATTTTGTAAGACTTATTTATTTGTTTACTTATTAATGAACAGTTATACCACGTAACAAAATACTATATAAATTTAAAAAGTAAATTTAAATATTATACTTGATTGTACTACTGATAGTGTTTAACTTAAAAAAATCAAAGAAAATTTTGATGGGTAGGTTAGGGTTTATATAATATGAAAGATGGGTGAATTTAGGGTTTTAAAAAATGCAAGAAGATAGAAGAAGAAGAGGAAAAAAAAAAAATACAATCTATAGGCCTTCAAATGATTTGAAAAAGTTTCGATGGTGGTCGGCGATAGAAACAGTGTAGTAAAGAGAGACAGAGAACAAGTCGTCGAAGAAGTCTTTTAATTTTGGATAGGATAAAAAGTTACCATTAGAAATTTGGTATAGAATTTGAGTTTACTATAATTTGGGTTCAAAATAAATTTTGTCTTAATTTGGTATAGGTTTGAGTCTATTGTTGGAGAATTGTTTTGAGCCATTTTGACTCAAATTTAAATTTGAGTCAAAGTTGGAGATACTTTTATGTAAAATTCACTAACCCACATGTTATCTTATATGAGTTTTTTGGCCGTGGGTACAATTTTTTAAACTTCTTTGAGAAAAAATATATAGATAAGTTGTTTATTTTATTAAGTTCAATTTTAATAAAACATATTGTGTTTAGGTACAAAATTCAAATGAAATTAATTTTTTTTTTTACCTAAATACACTCCCTTAAATTATGTATTTTTGATTGACAATTATATATCTAATTAAATATGTAAAGATTTTCACTAGACCCTCTCGCTATCTCTCCCCCTATTTTCTCTTAATCTCTCTCTCTTTCCCTGTTACTTTCCTCATCTCTCCCCAATTTTCTCTCTCTATCTATCATTGATAATTTTTTTTTCAACTATGTAAAGATTTGATTTATTTTTTCATCTCTCTCCTATTTTCTTTCTCTCTCTCCCTATTTTTTTATCTCTTTGTATTTATATCAACATTAAAACAACACAATTACACTAAATCAGTTAGACCAATCAATCACAATTGTCTTATAATACACCAAACAGTTGTTCATGTGTTATAATAAAATCAAACAATTACTAAAAATTATGACACCAATCCAATCTGTCATTCTGTTGTTTATATAAATTAAATAGTTGCACCATTTAATACCGCGACATCGTTACACCAATTATAATTACCAAATTTAGTATAATGGTAAAATTTTTTGTGTAATGATAAACTCAATTTGGTGTATATAATTGGTGTAACCATGTCGTGATACTAAATAGTGTAACTCGTTAATTTATGTAAATAGCTGAATGACAAATTTGGTGGGTGTTACAATTTCGTATAATTATTTAGTGTAACTGTTTGATTTATTATAATACATGAGTAACTGTTTGGTGTATTACAGGATAATTATAATTAATTGATGTAATTGTATTGTTATAATGTTGATATAACGATAGAGAGAGAAAGGGAGAGAATAAGGAAATAATGGGAGAAGGAGTGAGGGAGAGAAAAAATAGGGGAGAGAAAGAAAAAAAAATTAAATTAAATTTATACATATTTAAAAATAAATAAATTATAAATGTGTGTGTGTGAGAGGGAGAGAGAGAGAGAGAGAGAGAAATAGATAGGGGATAGGGGCGTGGCTCCTCTGCTGTTGGAGGAAAACAGCACAATGTGCTGTTAGGATAAATGACACCGTTTTAATAAGATTTTTCTTTCCAAAAATTTTCCACCGCAAAATATGCCTGTGAAACTCTCATTTCCACAATCTCTCTCTTTCTCTCATGTTCTACAGACCCACAAGCTGCACTTAAAAGTAAACCCTCTCTCTCCACCCAAGTAACCTTTCTTTTCTACACTGTCCTATCGCCTCTTTCCTCGTTATTCTTTCATTTTCCGAGTCCAAACAAGCCCAAGCAATTTACCCAATCATCGCAAGCAAGCATGAATTAATCTGAAGTGCAAATATGTGAAAATATTGGATCTTGAGATAGGGGGTTTTACAATTCCAAAAAAAAAAAGAGCGGGAATTCTAGAGAAAATGAGCACCTGTAAAAATTTTAGACTCACTTGTTTACAGAATCTTCGTATTTCATTTGGTGGGATAAATGGAATATTATCACCTCATGAAACAGCCGTAAGGCATGGGTTTAAATGGACCTATTTGAAAAAATTCCTTGAAATTGTCGAAGTTGAGAGCTTGACAGCCATTAGAGGAGCTCATGGACAGAAAACTATAGTTTCTAGAAGATTAATTTATTTGTGTATGTATAATTGCACATGCGTTTATAGGTGTTTGCGATAGAGAAGAATAAAGAACCCTTGTTTCGCATAAGGGAGAGTTATAATCACTGTTAAAAATTTTAGGAGTTTTAGGAGAGAGTTTGTATAAGAGAGAGGGACAGTGCAAATGTAGGTACAGAGGATGTGTATGGGAGAGTTTCATGGTGGAAAAATTTTGAAAAAGAAAAATCTAATTAAAACGGTGTCGTTTATCCTAACACTACACTATTCTGTTTTCCTCCAACAGCAGAGAAGCCACGCCCTACGGAAGAGAGAGTGAGAGAGTAATAGAGAGAGAAGGGGGGAGGGAGTAATAAAATAATAAATGGTCTTTCGGTCTTTTTTTTTAAAAAAATACACTTAAGTCCAAATAAATTTCTTTTATGTAGTTTAATTTAAATAAATCTAAATTTTTGTATCGACTTACAAATTACTCATCTTATTATTGGACAATTAAATCCATTATTTTTTTCCTAAAGAAGAGTGGTTTTTCGATGTGTCTCATGGCCTGAAACAGTTCAAGAATGCCATGAAAAGACTCCGCACAATGATGATATCACGTAATAATATTGATGTAATATTATCCATCTACAAGAGAAAGGGAGAGAAAGTGCTAATACTTAACATTAGCGAGGCAACGTTATCAATGATCAATCTTGGATAAGACAAAATGTATCAATTATCAATTTGGATTCTAATGCTCTGTTTGGTAGGGAGGATGGAAAGTAATAGGGATACACTTTCTATCCTTCAATAATGAAAAATATGAATGATATATTTTCCTACCTTTGTATTTGGTTGGATGTATGAAAAATAAACATGACTATATATTTTTTTTTGTGCTGGCATAAATTAGGGATGATAATTGAGTTGTGTTGTGTTAGATTCATGTTGAGTCATTACGTGTTTATGTCGAATATTAGTCAAACCTAACTTAACTCATTTAACTAATTATGTCGTATCGAGTTACGTGTTAACCTGTTTATTTTTCTATCGAGTTTGAGTCGTGTCATCGTGTTGAGTCAAAAATTTTCAATCTTAGTTAAGATGGAAAAAATAATTTTTTTTTTAATTTAATTTTTTTTTAATATTTTTTAATATATATATACATACACATTTTATTATTGTATTTTTATATGAAATTATTATATACATAATATATGTACATATAAAAAAATATATAGACAAATAAAATACATTTCAATAAAAATAATTAATTTTTCATCCACTTTTCCTCCGATTTTGGTGAGTTGAAAAAAAAGTTAATCCATCCACTTTTTTATCCTTACCAAACATGATGTTTTATTTATCCCTCCAACTTTCCTTCCTTCCACTTTTCCATCGTAACAAACGAAACATAAATTAACAATCACAACACAAATTTCGAATACATATAATAGTGATCGAAAAACTAAATGGAATGGAATACTATCAATTACATAGCACGTCCGTTTAACAAGACTCAAATATAATTTTAACATTTCGATTAATCCTTACTTTTATTTACTTACCCCCCAAAAAAAAAAAAATTCCCTACTTTCTTGGGTATCTCACTCACTTCAGAATATACATACAAAAATTACTAACGATATGTACAAAGTTCACAGCCCTACAAGTTTCAAGTCCAATCAGCCATGACCCAAAGCCCACAAATCCAAGTCATTGAGCCTAAGTTGCTTTTTCTTGGCACCCGAAAATTCCATGTGGGCCAGCCTTCTCAATCCTAGAAGGGTCCAGAACATGGAACAAATTGGTGTACACGTGTCCATTAACCATCATCCACTTATCTTTTATGTATCTTTCGATCATAATCTATTTGTCTTAACGGCTCAGATTTCAAATCCCAACCATCCGACTGTACTTGATCCTGTCTTTGCCTACCACCATCCCTTTCACTCCTCCTCACGCGCTTCGCACCAATGGATACCCCAAACAATCTTGGGTTCGTCTCCATCTCCATCTCCGCCTCCACGCCACCACTATTCATGGAGGCTCCGCCGTCTACCTCCACCAGCCTCGCCGGCAACAAACCCAAATCCCTATCTTCCGGTAATGTACTAGTTTCCGATTGATTCACAGTGTAATTCGATATCATATTGTACACATTGCAGCACAAGATACGCAATCGATTCAATTCTTGACTCAATTGCGCGTTCTCTTTTCTTAATCTTTCATTCTCTTCTAAAAGCTCCGGCGTGGTGATACACGACGTACTACCGAGGGCCAAGGCTGTCGCCGTAGCAGCCGGCGACGAGTTCGACGACAAAACTTGCTCATCGCCTGAATTTGTTGGCGACAGCGATCTCAACCGCGGTGCAACAGCCATAGTCACTGCTTGTGCCATTGCTGCCGCAGCCGGTGCCGCAACCGCAGATATTTTTCGGCGTTGAATGTCTCTCAGAAGTCTTTTCTGGCCTCTTCGAAAGCAGTCGTTCGCGAATTCCCACCGATCAGGTACAACTTTTCTAAATCCCTAGAAAATTGAAAGTAAAAACGAAAACAAAGAAATCAAAACCACATTTTTCAAAGCATATTGATTTAAAAAATACTTTCTATAGGGAGAAATTTTGTGCTTGGTGAAAGAGGTTCTTTCTTACGTAAGTGTTGAGTTGGCGAACGAAGCTGGAGAAGTTGTTGTGTTTGAAGTATTTGGGAAGCAAATCTCTGGCGAACTCAGCTGATCGCCAAACGATGAAGGTCGTTCCGTCTTCGTTCCACGAAATCAAGTCGTCCATGGATGGATCGTCCACAAGTTGATAGGTTTTCGTCAAAAAAGGCGTCGGTAGAGATCTTTGTGACTCTCCGGCTGTTGATTCACCGGTCTGTTCAACCGTTAACGACGCCATATAGATCCAAACTTCTAAAAAAGCAAAAAAGATAGAACTTTTAGGGGTTCATTCATCTATTTAACAAGTTTAATAGAAAAGATAACGATTCAAACCTTTGTTTGATGTGTGTAGGATAATAAAATAGATAGAAATACAACTTTGGCAAAAATCTGTTTGGTTGTTAAGAAAGTGGAGGAATAAAAGATTGGGAGTAGAAACGGCCGGAAACCTAGAGACTCGAAAGTGACAACAGATTGAACAAACAGGACGACGATGGTGATGGGATCTGTGTTTGGTATCCGAGAAATGTTTTGAAAAAATATATACAGAAAAAAAGAACTTGGCTAGGTGAAGAGAGAGCTTTTAGATTGAGGGTAACATTTTCCTTTATTTTTTCTAAGCAATCAAACATGAAAACAAAAGGAAATGGTGTAGATAACAACGAATCTAAAAACATTCTCTTTACCAGATATGCAAACCAGGCAGGTTCAGTGACAGATCGAACCAAACACCATTGAAGCAGCACCATCAAACAAAGCATCCATCTAACGCATCGAACTTGAGAGAGAGAGAGAGAGAGAGAGAGAGAGGAGATTAGTGTTGGTTCTGGAAGGTTCTTGGGGCGGGGGGGGGGGGGGGGTAAGAGTAGTAAATGATTACAACAGAGAGAAGGAAAACGAAAAGAAAGTGATTATCATATTCAAAAGAAATGGAGAAAAGGATGGGACCCACGAATGGAGTAGGTTTTGAGGAAGGAGCGAGAAGATACTTATCCATCGGTTCTTTTCCAGAAGGTTCGCTTTTTTCGTTAATGTTCTTATTAGGTTAAATTACATTTTATCCCCTTAAATTATTACTTTTATTTTATTATATACCCTTAACTATAAATTTTTTTATATATCTTAAAATATTAATTTTTTTTTATATCACTAAATAATGATTATCAATTTTTTGACGATAAATGTGCACATGAATGGTCTGTAATGCCAATAAACAATTGCCTATTATACATGTGCATGTTAAAAATTAAGAAAAATATTTATTCGTGACTTTGTTTTTTCTAAATTTCAAATTTTTTTCCGATGGTCGACTATTTGTTTTATTCTCAGCAACTATTTGGTTGCAAAAGAGACAAAATAAAGTGGTACTAAGCACTTGACGAGATGCTCTTTGGGATTTTTCTCCCTCATTTGACAGATTTTTAAATTTGTTATTTTATATTAATATGAATTAAAATTGATTCTTTAGAGTATGATGTGAAAAATTTTATAATTGAAGTACAAAGTGAAATAAAAATAATAATTTAGGGATAAAATATAATTTACTCTTCACTTCTTTGACTGAATACGTGGCGGTAAACTGTTGGAAGATTCGTGCGGTTAGATAAGGATGTTGGATGGAGTTTAGGACCCCTCTAGAATTCAATATTTTTTAAATTTTATTTGGCGGCTCTTATTCTCCTTCAATTATATATAATTAGTCATATTTAAATGTATGATAAATTTATATCACCATTAAAAAAAATTATATGTTGGAAGAGGTTATTTTAAAAAAATTTACATTATCAAACTAACTTAATTCCAACACTTAATTTAGGCCAAAATCTGATTTAATTTGTGTTGAAAATAATAATATTTTGAGTTTGAGTTTGAGTTTTGTATTTCACACATAAATTAAAATTCGAGTTAAATTTAAATTTAAATTATAATTTGTTAATTAAATATGGAAGATTAATCAGAAAATAAAATAAAAAAATCATAAGTAAACTAGTAAAAATGTAAACTCTGATTAGAGTTTGGGATCTCATAAATTAATTTGGATTCATTTCCTTGGGGTTTATTTGTTAAACGTTATTGTCACTTCAATTGGGTCAGACCCAATAAATCAAGTAAGTCTAAATCAGCTAAAAGGTAGGTCAAGTTCAGGTCGATGACCCAATCCAAAGTCCAACGAATCCAAGAATAATTAGAGCACGTGAAAAATAATTATCGAGATATTCATTTTCGAAGATCACGACAACTTCTTATGACATTTACCTTTGCCTTCTATGTCATCATCTTAATCAATGCTCAGTGTAAGTTTTCTCTATATGAGAAGACACCTCTTGATCTATCTCTATATCTCTCTACACACTATACACATATTTTTTCTCTCTTGTAGTTATTATATCCCTCCCGAAGTTAACCATTGCTCTCTTTGGTTCACCTTACTTTATCAATAAAAGTCCCTCGACCATCGTTGCTATTTTTTGGAGTGGAGTAGATGACCCGGACCGAATTACTATATATCTGTGTGTTGACTCGATATTTATATTATTGTCATTGATTGTTCCATTAATCACTCTTTATCGCACGCTCGACTGTTAATCTAACTTATGTTGTTTTGTGCATCATCAAAAAGGTGCAAATCGATCAAGGCAGGATGAAGCTCTTAAGAAAAGCAAGCCATTAGTTGTAGTTGGGAAATCGGGGAGAGTTCTAGAGATCAGCATATCCACTTCTTGTCCAAGCCAAAAGCGTTTTGCCTCTTGGGTCTGTCCCTCCCTAATGGACCTGTTAGTTTGTCTCTATCTTCTTCCACTTCTAGTTCAATGTCGAATTTGCAGACTCTGGCTGTCATTAAGAGCTTACTGCCAGCTCTAAAACATTAGTACTGCGTAAGAGGTTACAGCACAGAGTTGATATATTGAGGAGATGTGTGCATGCACTCGATGCCAAGTCCTTGATAGCTTTCATGAATTGTACTAAACAACTAAAAGATGCTGTCTTCAAGCTGGATGCCCGTGGGATAAAAGCTGCAGAGCTTCATGGAGACCTTGGCAAACTTGCAAGACCGACAATTTCAAAGAAATTCAAGAATGGGCAGGTGAGAGTACTGGTGACAAACGAGCTTTCAGCCAAAAGTTTGGATGGGTCAGAAATGTGATCTTGTGGTTAATCTAGATTTAACCACAAACTCAATTCGCTATGTACATCGAGACAGCCGAACTGGTCGGCTTGGCAGGAAGGGTACCGTGGTCACCATCTGTGAAGAGCTAAAAGTGTTTGTTGTAAAACAGCTTGAGGCCCCTATTCAGTCTTGTGAGTTCACAGATGGCATACTGGTTACGGAAGAAAAGAAGACTTCAGATGCGCAAGGTAATATACTGTTGCTAATTTTCACTAAGAAACCTTGTCAGAAGATTCATCAGAACAGTTCTTATTTTTTTGTATTGCTCATGATAATTGGTTGGCTTGGTTTAGGTCCTTAGGACTAGTTCACTTGTGTACCAAACTTTAAACTCCATGTTGGATGTTACGTCAAGTTCAGAACAAACTGGTTTTGGTTATGAATTTGGAAATTTGTCCTCATAAGAAGAACCATGAATTGCATTTAAGAGTTTAGGAGTACGGCAAGAATTTGCTGTTGTAACTGTCATATTAGAGATAATAGGAACTACCACCACCCTCTAACAACAGTAGCATTAATCCTTGCTGCTGATAGGTGAATTGCAACACAACGAATCCTTGCTGCTGATAAACATATTAAAAATAATTTGCCACTAACACATTCAGAGATTTTTGGATTTATGAAAGAAAATTGATGAAGTATTTATTTCACTTGCTGGCAAGAGTAGATATCACATACTTGAGAGATTGCATCAACGGACACACAAGTTAAAGCTTTAGAGATGGCCATCTAAGTAGAAGACAGTAAGTTTTGTTGCAATTCTTTTATATTTTCCTTTCATCGTCACAACACCGTGTCACCATATTATTCTCTTGCAGAGTTTATACCCTGATAGGAGTGCAGAAGCTGCAATAACAAGAAAAGCAGCGAAGGACATGCTGACTGAGACAATAGCTGCCTTCCAAAGCGATGTACTCTGTTCTATCTGTTGTATCACTGGTACTACTACTGAGGAGGATGAGATGAGAAGGTAACCCACCAACTGTTACATGGTAGCAAATCAATTAATCCATGGAAGATTCATTGTTGTGAAAGAAGGGAAACATGGAACAATATGTAACAGAACTGTGCCCAAGCTTAGTTGTTCAAAGCCGTTACACTTTTTTCTTCTCTCTCTCTCTGCGTGTACGTATATATTGGGATTGGGAAAATGCATTTTTTTGTTTTTTTTTTGAGGGGGGAGGGTTTGACTAACAGGGTGACCTTGTGGAGTATCGTGCACTAAATTTGTCTCTCACCGAACATAAGGAATATGTAAACTGGTGCATTACTCATGACAAGACACTGTGGAAATATCCAGGTGCATATTTGTTTGACAGATGTATATATCTAGGGTCTTTATATTAGTATTTCCTTTGTAGAAAATTGTTCAAGGAAATTTTTGGCATTGCCATGATAACCTAATTATATCTGAGATGGAACTCTCTTTTTCTTGCTTATGGATTATTGCTTAATGAATGTGCAACATTGAATTGCAATCGCTTCAAGTTACTGTTATTGTCACTGTATTGACCAGAGATCTGGTCTGAGCAAAATGACACTTGGTTCTAAGATCTAATGCGTAGTTCCTTCATGATTGTATCATTGCATCTCTGTTTTCTTCTTGTGCTGTGCGTGCACCTCTCCTATATGATTTTGTAATTTTCTCTGGTGAGTTTTCTGATTCTCAGTGTTCTGGGAAGCCTGGTACGAGAATATTTATACATCAGTATACAGAGCTCACATAACATTCTCTATTCATTTTGTCAATGGATTTCATCTGTTTTCCTTTAGATTCTTTGCCTGTATATGTTTTGGCTTTATCATTTTATCATGATACACACTTCTTGTGTCCTAGTCTCCTCGATGTATAGCTAGGTGGACACAAATGGATAGTTAAACAGAATGGCTTATGAGCAGGACTCTTGGAGAATTCATTTACCTGGTCAAGAATGAAGCTACTGTAGTCGGATGCCATGTCTGAGATGAGAATGCCTCTGTAAGCCATGTCGCAAACACCTTTAAAGAGTTGATAGGCCGAGTAGAGGAAAGCCAAGATGGTCACAATGAAGCAGTACCTGCACAGATGAGTTCTATAGATTAATCCTCCCAATTTGGTGATGACAATATTGTATCCTATTTTTATCCAAAATTACCAATTGAATGCCAAAACAGCCAGAGAAAAATTGGTACAGTCAACTTATATATCAAATTTCAAGCAGATATGGATGTTATTTTGAATTTCATCTTGCACCTATTGCTTACTTGAATTCCGTGTAGGCGAGGAAGCCATGATGTAATTTGCCTTCATTCTTGTTTGGTGATGGAGCAGCAAGTGAAAGAGCAGAAACAAAGGAGAACAGGAGGGTCAGAGACCGCAGTAATAAGTTGGAGAGATGAATCGAAGGTCTGGAGCTCCACCTGGTAGAAGCAACTGAAAAGGAAAATGGTGATGGTGTTGGCAAAGATGGCTGTGCCGGAGAGTAGGCTGCAACAGGTGAAACACCAGACATTGATGCACAGGTAAGCACAACCATATGTCTTTCTTCTTTCATTGTCTCCTTTCTTTCTGTAAATGCTCCTACGTCTAGAAGAAGTTTCCTCAAACTTGCTTGTAATTGCTCTGAGGCCAACCTTCTGTATTTTAAGTGTCATTTTTTATCATGTAGAGCCGCATCACTTTATAATCTAATGTCCACAGAGATTCGTAAACAGAAAGGCAGCTTCTGAGTCCTATCCTGTTTACTTATTTAGAGAATCATTCATTGTCAGTTCACCAAACTTTAAAGAAAAAATGTCCATAAAACATAAAAAATGGAGACACTCCTGCCACAATGAAGTCCAAGGAGTTTCACTTGTATGAGCTTTACGCATATGTACCGAAAAGACGCTTCTGTAGATCGAACTTGTGATGTCTAAGTCACCGAGGAACAACCTCACCACTGTGTCAAACCCGATCTAAATAATATTCTTAACATGAAACACTTGCAAATAACCTAAATGCAGTCCAACTCAAACCTTAATTTAAAAAAGGAGGTAGTTGATAGAAAGGTAAGTTTTCACGTCACTCTTCTTAGAAATAATGTGTGAAATACAGGGTTGTTGAAAGAAAATAGTTTTATAACCACCATTATTTAAGATTTATAAATTCAGAGCTTATCGGCTTAATTTGTCTACAGTTCAATCTCAAATTAATCCATAACACAGGACAAACACAAACTGCTGGAATGGTTTTTTTAGAGTTAATTACATCCACCTTCCCTGAGGTTTATCCAAATGATAGGTAAAAGCACCTCTTGGAAGGTAAATAGTTTATTAAACCGAAAAAATAAGATATACAATGAAATTCAAAACAAGCCAAAAAAAGCCACCCAAAGCAATACTTAGAAAATTTATTCCGTAGTCTATAGATAAACTAATCTCTCACAACCCAAGACTAGGTACAAAAGTTAGAACGGGTCCATAAGCCTAATTATACTTGCTAAATACTAAGGAGGAGTCTTTAACTTCTCCTGAAGATACTTAATACTTAAGGTATTTGATATTTGATCTTCTAGCCTTCAGACTTTGAATCTTGCCTTGAGGGATAGGTAAGCATCTCACTTATGGATAATAACACAAATCTCCCTTTTGGTTTTGGTGCTGGCTAATAGATTTTCTCAACCCTTAAACTACCATTAAAGGGCCATCCAAAATCATATCATGTAAGCATCGTTAGTTTGTATAATTCCAGGATTACCCTCACAATTTTATCTAATTTTTTTCCTAAAAAAACTAATTCAACCAACTAAGAATATTGTTAACCTTGAATAAACCCTGCCCTATGGCTTAACACCAATCATCCAACTGATCAAGTTATATATATCTCGGTGCTCTCCTGAGACCACACAGAAATCCTGATCATTCTTCTTCTCTATTTCTCTCTTTCCTCCTTGTTTTGGTGGTCACCGTGGGGGTTGGTGGTGGCAAGTGGTAGTTGGTAGGTGTGTGATCCACGTTTGGGGTGGGGGTATAGCAATGGAAGGGTGGGTTTCTTGTATGTGGGTGTGGCATGGGAAGGTGTTTCTGAAAGATTGTGGGTGGGTTTGATCGCAGTTTGTTGGGTGATCTTTTGTGATTGGGGCTTGAGAACGCCCCGATTCTATTTCTCTATATTTTCAAGGAAAATTTAGAAGTCAATACAAAAATTTAGACTTAATTGAATTAAACTATATTAAGAAAATTTATTTAGCTTTCAATACAATTTTTTTTGAAAAAATACTAAAAATTCATTCATTACTCCACTATTCTCTCTATCAAATGAAAATTAATATATTCCGATTAGTGAAAGGATATATTAGGTCTGGTTTGGAAACGTTTATCAACAAGCATGCAAACCATAGTCCTACTGTGTCAAGGGAGGGTCTTTCAAATCTTACGTCGAACACTTGCTATCCACCAAAGTCATCCTGCTTTCCACTATTGGACCCACACACCAATCAATTCGTGCGAGAACAGATCGTAATCAAACAGAAAAGAAGAAGAAGAACCAAAGAGCTTAAAGTTGGAGGATCGAGAGGCTACCAAATGGAGAGTCGGTTGGGTCTGCCTTCCAGTGCTGGATCGGTGATGGCTTCCCCATTCATAGAGGCCATATTTTCCACATCATCAACCATTTAAAGAAGCTCCAATCAAACAAACGTGCCCTCAGGTTCTTCTCTCTTTTGAGATACTTACATATGCATACTACCTTGTTTCTCCAAATGCTTCAGTTAAATAATCCCCAAGCGTAAATCAGTGAAACGGTCCATTGTTTGGTACAATGGTAAAATGCTTATACTGCCAAGTGTGAGAATGTGGGTTTTGAGTCTGGAAGCAATCACATATGTGCTGTTTGTGCCAAACCTTATGCCCGTTTCACCTGTCAACACCCTGTTTTGGTGAAATCAACACTTGATTTTTGGCCTTTACTTTTCATTTCGTGCTCTGGAGTTATATATTTATATGGAATTTGCTCTACAACAATCTTGTAATTGCATGCTTAGATAGAGGCATGATAAGCCTTTACCGCTCGTACATGAAGAAAATGAGGGCACTTGGTCATCCCATATCGTACTTGGCTCATTATTCTTCATTCCTCCCCTAGCCGTAAGAAAGTCATTTAAAAATTCCTCACTCAAATGAAAGCTGATAGGGTGGCTCCCCATGTTTCCACTTAAAACATTCTTTTGAAAATGGAAGCTAATGAACACAACATTGAAGGCTTGGTAAAGGTGTTCGGTGACATGAAGCTAGCAGAAGTTGAGCCAAATGAGGTATCTTACTGCATATTAGTCACTGCACATGCTGCGGCACGGTTTTACAATGTGTGTGAGGCCTATGTTGAAGAGGTAGAGAAGTCTATGACGGGAAATAACTGGTCAACATTAGATATCCTTGTTATACTGTATGGATATTTGGGGAAGAAAAAGGAGCTAGAACGAACTTGGGCATTGTGCAAGAACTTCCACATATTAGGTCTCTGAGTTTTATTCTGGCCATAGAAGCATATGGTAAGATTGGAGAGCTAAGTTGAGCCGAAAGATTTGGGCGGAAATGAAATCAAACTAGGGGTTGAAAACAACTGATCAATTCTGATGATGTACAAATTGGTTTGCGCACCACTTGTCAATTAAACAGTATAAAATGCAGTAAAGTAGAGGGAGAGAGAAGATCAAGTTTATAGTGGTTTTCGGTCATGGTGACTGTTAGAGTATGTGTGGCTCATATATTGCTGTGTGCATAATGGCAAGGAGGCAGATGCCGGAGCGTAGCGGAGCCTGCGACGGCATCTGCCTTGTGGGATTTGTATAAAGAGGATGCTGATTAGTTGGGGGTGCGGGGGCAACGCCCCCGCGGTACGGTACAGGGATATTTTTATAAATACGTCCGTATTAGGGTTATATAAATACTTAAGATGTAATCCTACTTTGAATAATGAAAAAGGAATGGCCGCTCGCTCTCATGGATGTAGGCACATTGCCGAACCACGTAAATCTCTATGTGTTATTTTCTCCTGCTTTCTTAATTGTTTGATTTCTTACTATTCACCATAATTGCTGCACGATCACAACAGTGACCTATGTCCATTTGGAATGACAAGGGTCGCCATGATTTTATTAATTCCGGTGTAGTGTGAGAGCAGAAGGTTACAAGCTTTGAGAGAGGATGAGAGAATTATCTCGAATGAATCTGATGCCCCCAAGTGGTGATGGGGTTTACAATTTATAGTCGCTCAGTATAGTAATTAAATAACTAGTCTGGTGGTCATAACGGATTGAGGTGACTTTAAGATAATTAAATAGTTGATCCGGCGGAGACGCACCTCTTCTCAACGAGCAAGACAATTATGGTGCTTGAGCTCATTGGTTCCTAAGGTGGTGAGGGTGAGACTCTTTGATGTTCTCTTGGTGACGTAGCTTTCTAATGAGCTTGTCCGGATTGATCATATTGAGTTGAATTTTGTGGATCTCTTGGAATTGGACTTTTAAATCGGACTAGGCTTATAACTTGAGTTGGGTCTTTGCCCATCAAGTTCAACTCAATGATATCAGAGTTTACTACACTTGAGATAGTTGTGAATGAAAATGGATACTCAAATTAAGAGTAGAACCCCGTATATATATCCAAAAATAATACAGAGTGACTTAAACATCCTTGTAGTTTAGGCAAAATATAAAAATCATAGTAAGGGTAAAAAAGGGAAAAGAAATCCTAATAAACCTAGACTATCTATACTCCAACACTCCCCCTCAAGCTAGGCGCAAAAATGTCAACTAAGTCAAGCTTGACAACGGAGTCCCGAAGAATAGACAGAGTGACAGGTTTGGTAAAAACATCCGCAACTTGATCACTGGTCCCCACAAACGATGGAGTAACAAGACCACTGCTGACCTTCTCCCGAAGAAAGTGAACATCGATCTCTATATGCTTCGTTCTCTCATGTAGTACAGAGTCAGAAGCGAGCTGAATAGCAGATTGATTATCACAATATAATGTGGATGGTGAGGTCACTGAAAAACCCAACTCGTCAAGAATCGATCGTAGCCAGATAATCTCACATGTGCCAAGTGCCAATGCCCGATACTCTGCCTCTGCGGACGAGCGGGAGACAACTGCCTGCTTCTTGCTCTTCCAAGAGATAAGATGAGTCCCTCGAAAAGCACAGAAACCCGTAGTAGATCGATCATCACATGCTCCCCCATAATCTGAATCTGAATAACAGGCTAGAGAACCGGTCCGAGATCCTGATGCATAAAACAACCCAAGTCCACGACAAGACTTGAGGTACCGAAGAATATGATAAACTGCATCAAGATGAGGCTGACATGGCCTATGCATGAACTGACTAACTCGGTTGACTGCGAATGAAATATCCGGCCTAGTATTGGCTAAGTAGATAAGTCTACCTACCAATCTTTGATAAACTGTCGGATCTTTCAACTCCTCACCTTCAGCAGTAAGCTTCAGGTTTGGAATCATAGGTGATAATGCCGGTTTGCACCCCAACATCCCAGTATCTGAAAGAAGATCCAAAACATACTTTCTCTGAGAAAGAACAATACCTCTGCTTCTACGGGCAACCTCAATCCCAAGAAAGTATCGCAGAAATTCAAGATCCTTCACATCGAAGGCCTTCCCAAGGTCTATCTTGACCTGCGCAGTCCCAGAAACATCATCACCAGTAATAATAATATCATCAACATATACCAGAAGGATGACACACTGTCCAGAAGTATTCCGTCGAATAAAGCAGGTATGATCAGAATGACACCTGGTGAACCCCAATCGTATGACTACATCACTGAAGCGAGAGAACCAAGCTCGTGGCGACTGTTTCAGTCCATAAAGAGACTTACGCAATCGACATACCTTTCCAGCATACTCCCCCTCACCACGAAAGCCCGGTGGTGCATCCATATAAATAATCTCGTCCAGATCACCGTGAAGAAACGCATTCTTCACATCTAATTGATGAAGAGGCCAAGAGTACTCCGCAGCCAGAGAAATAATTAACCGAACAGTAGTCAATTTTGCCACGGGGGCAAATGTAGCACCAAAATCACGACCTGGTACCTGAGTAAAGCCCTTCGCCACAAGTCTAGCCTTGTAACGATCAATAGTACCATCCGCAAGAAACTTCAGGGTGTAAACCTAGCGACAGCCAACAGGCTTCACCCCTGAAGGTAAGGAGACAAGATCCCATGTATGATTATGCTAAAGAGCGTCCATCTCTGTCTGCATGGCAAGAATCCACTGGGGCTCCCGCATAGCTTCCGAAATAGAGCGAGGAACCAGCGTATCTGATAAGGCCATAGTATAAGCTCGAAATGTGGGAGACAAATTACCATAAGAAACATAAGCAGAGATCGGATATAAAATCTTGGCGGTCCAACCATATCGATCAACTGGACGGCGATCACGCCTTGGATAACGACGCCCTAAATCACCATCCTCTACTGATAATATCTTATCAGGTAAAGTAACTGGCTCAGCACCTGTAATCTCATCAGTACTAACAACAGGTGCATCAATATGCTCAACAAACTGAGAAGTATTACCTGCATCGCCTGAGGTAGAGGGGATATCAGCAGGGTGATGAGAGCGAGGACAACGAGCATACACCTGCAAAGGAAGAGAGACTGGTAACTCTGTACTGACAGGGATGAGTGACTCCTTTGGAGGAAAAACGGATGACCCTGTAGGGATAGTGATCAATGACTCTGACTCTTATGGTAATGGAAAATCAAAGGGAGTATCATCAACTGGAGGGGCAGACAAAGGACTGAAAGGAAAATAAGGAATATGCTCAAGAAAGGTAACATCTAGACTGTGATACATACGACGCCTAATAGGATCATATCATCGATACCCCTTAGATTGATGACAATAGCCCACAAAGATACAACGAATCGCTTTATCATCAAGTTTATGACGAGTAGGAGACCGATCCTGAACAAAACATGTGCATCCAAAAACACGAGGGGGGACCGGAAAAAGTGTCCGCTCAGGAAATAAGACCTGTAAGGGAGCCTTATGCTGAAGAATACGACTCGGCGTACGATTGCACAGAAAGGTAGAAGTCAAAACAGCAAAATACCAATAAGATTTTGGTACCCTCATGCCTCTAAGCAGACAACGTACCATCCCTATCAAACTCCTATTTTTCCTCTCAGCAACACCATTTTGCTCAGGAGTATATGGACAAGTGAGTTGCTGAAGGATACCCTGAGAAGAAAGGTGAGACACTAAAGCATCAGACACATATTCTTTGGCATTATCCGAACGAAGAGCACGAACAATGACATCGAATTGTATCTTAATCATCTGTAAAAACTGAGTGATTATAGGGAGCACATCAGACTTCCTATGCAAAAGGTAGACCCAAGTACAACGGGTATGATCATCTATAAATGTCACATAATATCTGGCACCTGACAGAGCAGTAACGGGAGAGGGTCCCCAAATATCAGAGTGTATTAGGTCAAATGGCTTGGGTGACTGGTGCATGCGAGGAATATAATTGGCCCTAACATGTTTTGATAGAGAACAGATAATGCAATCAAGTTTACCACCAACACAAGCATTACTCAAAGCAGGAAACAACATACATAAATATTTAAAATTTGTATGTCCAAAACGGTCATGCCACAATTGAACAGTTTGTGACGAAAAATCATAATGACAACTACTAGGTAAAATACTAGCATGCAAGCTAGGAACAGAAAAAGACAAAGCAGGTGCAGGTGAAGGAATTGGTGAAACTGGAGATGGATTGCCAAGATAATACAGTCCATCTTTCTCATGTCCCTTGATAATAATCCTCCTGGTACTCAGGTCCTGCAAATAACACGAATCAGATAAGAATACAACCGCACAGTGAAAATCTCTGGCTAACTGATGTACAGATAATAGATTCATGGCCAACTTTGGCGTATGAAAAACCGAATGTAATGTAAGGCCATCTGGGAGACGGACTGTACCCCTACTAACAATAGGGGCATGTGTTCCATCTGCTAACTCAACCTGTGTATGTAATGGCTCGTCAAAAGTGGTGAAGTGATGGGCCTCACCTGTCATGTGACCATTCGCACCCGAGTCCAACATCCAAAGGGGAGATGAACTGGCACAAGCGTGAAAGGCACGAGATATACCTGTAGTGGTGACAGCAGCAGTAGTCAGACTCTGAGAAGTCAGAGCAGACATAAATATATCTAATCGGAAAGTGATAGCATCCATATCACTTTGCCAAGGAGGAGCAGTAGCAGGAGTGGCGGTAGTAGGCGGTGGTACCTCAGCAATAGCAACAGTACGGCTGCGAGAAGGTAGCTTAAGCTCTGGATGGAGCTTCTAGCAAGTAGCCCTGAGATGTCCTGGTCGGCCACAATAATCACATTGACGGGAATCCCCCCGTCTGTGCTGATCTGGGGCGCCCTGACGGCACTGGTCTGAGCGTTGCCTATCCCTGACTAAGGATCCTGAACAGGACCCTACAGCAGCTGCAAGGGCCATCTGGTCAGTCGAAGGAGGCAAAGCTGCAACTGAAAGTGATGCAATACGGACTCGACGCTCATGCTGCTCAATCATCCCATACACCTCATAAAGAGAAGGAAGTGTCAACATCGACAAGATCTGAGAACGAGGTCCCTCAAACTCATCACGAAGCCCCATAAGGAACTTGTGAATCCTATCCTCCTGCTCTCGAGTATGCAAGAATGCTGCTCCCTCGGGCTCTATCTTCGGAATAGCAGCAAGAGGACGTAGAGACTCATACTCAAGCCAGCGCTGGGTCAAATAGCAATAATAATCCTGAACGGTCATATCTCCCTGCCGAGCATATGAGAGCTCCTGAGAAAGCTCATAAACACGAACTCCCCGTCCTGACTGAGAATACATCTTTGATAATGCGCTCCATAGCTTCGGAACAGAGCTATGAAACTGGTGGATCCTGCAAACAGAGGGCTCCATTGAGCCAAATAACCATCCAAGAATGACACAGTTTTCAGAGAACCATGCAGAATATCCAGGGTCGGCATCAGCTGGCTTTGGGTGAGATCCCGTCAGCCAACCAAGCTTCCCTACACGGCCTAAGAAAAGCTGGAATGAGCGTGACCACTCAGCGAAGTTACGACCATTCAACAATTGTGCCGTAACTTTTTGAAAGATCATGCCCGGTAATGCTGGTAATGCAACTGTGCTAGTAGGCACTGTATACTGGTCAAACATAAAAGTGGAAGTACCCATAGATGTCTCAACGGTAGAGGTGTCAACAGTAGGGTTCTCAAGTCCCTCAGTAGTAGTCATATCAACAACAATACTAGGGCACCCGTGACAGAAAAATAACTCTAAGATAAATAGAGAAATAAAATAAGGGAGAACAATATACCTTCAGTCGAACAGTAGCGACAAATAGGGAAGGTCCAAAAAACTCCCAAATAATCAAGTCACGGTGCCCAGAAATCCAAAATATATAAATAAGTGATCTACTGCATCAAGAGCAAATCAACAACCCCTCATAAAAAATCCTAGATATAACACTGGTCGATGCTAGCTACTATTTAGTGTGTATATGTTCGCTGGTAGATGAAATAAAAGCAATCAGTTGGTTTGAGGATGGGCAGTGGGCTGGGTTTGGATTTAATATGTATGGGTTTGGTCTGAGTATCGGGCAGTGGGCTGGGTATTGGTTTAATATGTCGGTGTGGGTATTGGGTATATTGATTTTTCTTCCACTTCGATCAAGACTCAGAGAGAGAGACTTAAGTTGGAGATGGCTGTGATATGAACGTCCACCGTCGCCAAAACGAAGACGAAGAGGCAGAGGCGCAGAGGACGGGATGAGGCAGAGGCGCAGAGGACGGGATGAGGCAGAGGCAAAGACTACGACCGCAGGTATATTGTTGTTTCAGTGTAGCATATTGATGCAGGTAGTGTATTGGGTATTGTATTGGGTCTGGTGAGGAGTTGATGTCTGGCTGTTCGGTGTTCGGTGATTGAGTGGTTTCGCTGGGCAGTCGGTGTCGGGGATTGAGACGACTTCGCTGGTTTGGGTTTGGGCAGTCGATGATTGTTTGAGTGGTGGCTGTTTGGTGTGGTTGCTGGGTGGACGGAGTGGGATGCTTGCTGGCTGTCGGTGCTACTGGACAGTGTGGTGGTTGATGGCTGGTTACTGTTGCAATGTGAAGGAGGAGCAGCGGCTGGGTCTGTTTGGTTATGACGATTGGCGGAGGTTAGGGTTAGGGTTAGTGGCTCTGATACCAACTTGAGATAGTTGTGAATGAAAAGGGATACTCAAATTAAGAGTAGAACCCCGTATATATATCCAAAAATAATACAGAGTGACTTAAACATTCTTGTAGTTTAGGCAAAATATAAAAATCATAGTAAGGGTAAAAAAGGGAAAAGAAATCCTAATAAACCTAGACTATCTATACTCCAACAACTACAAACATGGGCTTATTAGTAAAGCCACTGGACTCTGCAGAGAAATGGAGAACAGCGGACCCAAACCAAATGCCATAACTTTCAGACATCTTTCTTTGGGTTGCTTGAAAGCGGGTTTGATGAAGGAAGCTCTGAAAACCCTGAACTTGGGGATGGATCTGACGACAACCACCAGTGTCAGGAAATCAACCCCATGGCTAGAGACTACATTTTCAATATTTGAAATTTTTACAGAGAGGGGTGATGTAGAAAATGGTGAGAAGTTTTTTGAAGAGTTGAAGAAAGCAAATTACACTTGGCACACTTTTGTTTATAATACCTTGATTAAAGCTTATGTTTTTAAGGCCAGGATTTATGACCCAAATCTTTTGAGAAGGATGATTCTGGGAGGGTCTAGGCCTGATTCTGAGACCTATAGCCTATTGAGACTTGTTGATCAGTTTCAAGTTGGGTTTTAAGCTTGACACAATTTTCTCTGAAATTCTCAAAATTCGTCTCTGCATACACTTTTGTAATCGTAACAAAAAATAACTCATGAAGGTATTGAATGTGAGTGATTATCTATTTGAATCTTTGTAGACAAATTACTAAATTTGTAAGGGCCCAATTCTCTTACATGTGATTATGATATATAAGATTTATGATTATGTGCTCCATTCGACGCTCATGGACCCAAGTTCCAATCAAAATATACAACTCTCATCCTAACTCTGCAATCTTACTATGTTATAATGCTTGAATTTTGAACTTGAGTTAAAATTCACATTCAATTTTTATTAATTTTTTTGGGTCCAGTGCATTAAATTGAGTTTAATTAAGGTTTGACTCTCAAGTAATACAACTAAATTCATTAATCAATGTCCGGTTGGATTTGAGTTCCAAGTTGAATTTTGATTTCATTATAATAATAATAATAAAAAAAATTACTTGGTATTATTATCTAATAAGAATGTAATAATAAATAAGTGAATCTCACATATTATGGTAATCATCTATCATATCATTTGATAAGCCCCTAATATAGGGTTAATTACATTGGAGGCCCCTGAACTATGAGGTTTATTTCATTTTGGTGTTCAATTATATTATTTTAGTCCCTGAAATATTGAATATATTTTTATGTGATCACTTAAGAAGGCAACGTTCAAATTGCTAATAATTTTTTGTTATAAAATTTGCCTAATTTTTTTTTAAAAAACATCAATTTCTCTACACGACCTTTAATATTAAACAATTTCATTAATTAACACATATATCTCTCTTAATTTTAATTTTAAATAACATAATTAAAAAAATTAAATTATTATTTAAAATATAAACATTATAAAGATGGATTCAATTTTTAATATTATATATTATTTTTAGACACGAGATTTTTACCAGATGTATCAAAGTCATGTGCATAGTTTTTCCGGTTCATAGGAAAGCACTATCAAATTTCCAGTTCATGGGTTGCTAAAAGTCTTGCTTCTTTGTTACGGCAATCTATTTATAGCGGGCCGGGGGTGGAAAGTAAAATGGTCATAAAAATTCTTCTCAACTCGTGTTGATTTTGCATTCAAACGGAACAAGAGACAATTTACGATTCTACCGTCAAATTGACCACTGTAAAAATGGGAAAAGTAACATTAAAATTTTTGTTATGACATAATGAATATGTCATTTGACCATTATAACTTCGTTAAAACAAAAAGACAGTCCAAATGATATAATAGCAATTTACCAACAATTTAAGCTATAAAAAAATTAAAATTCATATCGGGTTTTTTTATTTATCATATCGTTCTCTATAAAAGGACAGGACATTTTTGCTTATTTTTTTCAATTAGCATGACAATATTCATAATCAAAATGGGTAGATGACTCTAATGCTCTGTTTGACAGTAAGGATAGAAAGTAGGAGGGATACACGTTCTATTCTTCAAGGATGGAAAGTAAGAATGATACACTTTTCTTCATTTGTGTTTGGTTGGATACACGGAAAATAAAAATGATTAATTTTTTTTTAATTTTTTTTTTGTGATGGCTAAAATTAAGGTTGACAATCGAGTCGTGTCGTGTCAGATTCGTGTTGACTCATAAAATTATGAACCTTTTATATTTCTTGTTCGCGTGTCAGATCATTTTCAAGTTCTTGTTGAGTTATAATCAAGTTCGTGTCATAAAATTTATGTCGAGTTCGAGTCGTGTTATCGTGTTGAGTCAAAAATTTTCACCCCAAGTTAAGATGAAAAAAAAATATATTTTTAATTTAATTTTTTTAATTATATATATATATATACATATTTTATCATTATATTTTTATATGAAATTAATGTATACATAATATATATAGACAAATAAGATACATCTCAATACAAATAATTAACTTTCTATCTACTTTTCTTCCGATTTTGGAGGGATTGATTTTGGTGAGTTGGAAAGAAAGTTAATCCATCAACTTTTTCATCCTTCCTACTGTTGTTTTTAGTGTGCCAAATATTATAAAATCACTTATTAAACTTTTTGATTTTAACCACGTAAAATATAACAAAACAGTTACAGTAAAAAGTTATACAGAAACAAAAGAGTTATAGCAGGGTAACGAAACAGTAACACACAACTATTTGTCAAACCAAAATAAATATTAACCCGATTGCAGAACATGAACTGTTATTGAACTTTAGGTAGATCAAGACTAGTGTTTGACATTTTGTCTTTAAAACAAATTTCGCCCCCATACACGGTGCTTATGGAAATCGAGCGTCTACCTCCTAAGATACAATGATCTTTACACGAATAGAAGTAGCACTCTAATCTGCTCGTCCGACGAATCAAAGTCGTGTTGTGTACTCTCTAAATGCACTGCTTTAATTTTGAAAATGATATGGTTTAATGCCTACCTTATTGTTGAAAATAGACTGAATGAATGTATGAAATTAATGAAAATGAGCCTGAGTATTTATAGACACATTGGTGACTTTTTAGACAGTCACCTTACTAAAGGACACAACCCAAAATGACAAGACACAACAGTCAGTAGACACCTTGAGTAACTGTTCTTCATGAACAGTCACAACGCATAATTTTGGACTGGTGAGAAGCAGAAATCCAAACTAGCGCGATCCAATGGGTATCGAAAATTTATTTCAGGTTAAGAAATTCTCGCCCAATAAATTAAATAATTTTTTTTCAAAAAGATAGGGTTTGATCTAACCCACACCCGTACCCGAGACCCGCCGGGTCGGGTCGGGTCGTGGCGAGGCGAGACAGGCAAGTATAAATGAGACAGATAGGCTAGTATCAACTAATTTTTGTTGTGATAGTTAATACTAGTTATAACTCGTGCCTGAAGGCACGATAAAATATAAAATTCGAGCGTCTATGGTCCCACTATATTAATTTTTTTTAACATGTGTATACTATTGTATATAAATAATGTTTGAAATAAAAAATATATTAATTACAAATTAACCAAATATTAAATAATTAAACATATGATAGAAATGAGTGATGTGACATTTTTAGGGCAGAAATATATAAATGATTAAACATATGATAGAAATGAGTGATGCGACTTGACGTTTGAGTATGACAGAGGAATGATGGATGAGGTAAGTGATTGGTGATAGTTTTGAGGGAAAAAATATGACTAGAATAAAATTAAAAGTATGAACTATTTTATTATATAGATATAATAGTTTGTTTCACTAGCTAGCAAATAATGCATTGCTGACACACGTGTGTTGTGTGTTGTGTGTGTGTGAGGGAGAGAGATAAGGAAGGGGAGTTAGCCTCAAGAGATAGGGGTTAGGACAAAATTCAGTTTACTCCCTTGTGGTTTGGATATTTTGCACATCACCTCTTTGTGGTTCAAAAATCAACACATAATCCCCTTATATTTTTGGACTAAAGTACGACCGTTACTATTTCTGTTAAAAGTAACATAAAGTATAACACACGCGCTAGATTTGCAAGTGTGGATGTAAAAAATTTAAGTCAAAGTCAAAAATCAATCTAAAAACCCAAATATACGCTTGTGATCTTTAAAAAAGACCTTTTTTTTTTATCTTCTTCTACAATTTACTGTTAGAAATTTTTTTTCTTATTTCTCATTTCTCATTTCCTTTCCCCTTTTCCCGTTTTTGTGCCTCTCCTGCTCTTGCCTCCTTTCTCTCTCTCCTCTCTTCCTCTCTCTCTTGTAATTGTTCTTGTGATTTTTGGTGGGGATGGTGGAATTTTTTAGTGGGTTTGGGGGTGAGTTTCAGGGGCTGTTGGGAGTGGGTTTTCGGTGGGGCTTGGGGGTGTTGGGTTGTTGTTAGTGGGGGAGGGTTTTCAGTATGGGTGGTTGGTGGTGGGTGGTGGATTGCAAGGAGAGCCTAGGAAAAGGTGGTTTGAACAGAGAGGAGAGGGTAGTGACATTGCTGAGTTAGAGAGAGAGGCAACAAAGTGTATAGTAAAAGAAAATCAAAACCCTAATTTAAGCTTAAAATTTGAATTTTGGGGTATTTAAAATTTCGAATTTCAGAAATGAAGGGGGGCTAATCTACCATTTTTAGGATCAAGGAATCTATTTTTGAAGTTAGAATCTAGAAATAATGAGGTTTGGTGGGTGAAAAATTGAATTAAAAATCGTGACAATTTTTGAAAATAATGAACCCGTCATTTTGGAGCTTGATTTCCACTTACCTTGTGCATGATTTGGACAAACTAAATACATGGTTGGAAAGAAGTTAAATTTAGGCATTTGAATCACCAAAAAGGTTGAAAAACAAGAGAGAAATTAAGGACCAAAGTTGGCCCAAATGTTAAAAAAAATTTAGTATGTACATAACTTGTCAAAATGAGTTTGTGATCACTTTTGAGCTTAAATTTGTGGGTCATGGGGGCTATTTAAGGAAATAAGTCCGTGGGATTTTAAAACTAGGTTGAGAGTGGAGCATATTGACATTGATTTGAAAAAATTTGGTATTTTATGGAGAGAGAGAGAGAGAAAGGATTGTAAAGTTAGGTGATTGATTGATTTTTCCAAAAATTAAACTACAGTTGAGAGGGAGGAAGAAGATGAAGAATAGTTGAGGGTACTAAAATCATTTTACTATTTTTGTTTACAGTGTTAATTGTGCATATTGGTCCAAAAATATAAAGGGGTAATGTGTTGATTTCCAAATCATAAAAAGATGATGCGTAAAATATCCAAATCACACGAAGTTAAACTGGATTTTGCCCTAGGGGTTAATACAGTGGGAGTGGGTGTGTGTGCGCGTTAGGTATGCGTGCGTTGGGGGCTGTGAGGCAGGCAGGACCGAGTGGGATGGTGTGATGAGTGGAAAAATATGAGATATAAAATTCAAGTTTTTTTTTATTATATATATTTATACACACACGATTATTATATTAAAACTTATTTATTTTAATACTGTGTTTTTTTTTATAAAAAAATAAATATATGACACATCTACTTTTTATTATTTTATAATGTTATCAATCAATAAATATAGTTTTATTGTGGAATAGATCATGCCGGCTATCCTTGACTTGACTCACAAGTCAAGCCAAGACTAAAAAATCTGTAAAAATTTCCAACAAAATTAACTATACAATTAAACTCTTACACCCACCTCTCTCTATGTTCCCACTATAAATACCCCACCCATTCCCTCACAAACACTACACAAGAACAAAACCTCATACTCATAGCCCATCTCTCTAACTCTACCTCTCTCTCCAGAGTCCTAAACATGAGTTTCTTCAAGTCTCTCTCCATTTCCATTTTCCTTCTCATCTCTCTCATTTTCACCTCCACCCATGCAGCCACTTTTGATGTCCGAAACAACTGTCCCTACACAGTTTGGGCAGCAGCCGTGCCTGGTGGCGGCCAGAGGCTTGACAATGGCCAAACATGGCAAATCAACGTCCCTGCCGGCACGAAACAAGCCCGTATCTGGCCTCGAACCAACTGCAACTTCGACGGGGCCGGTCGGGGCATCTGTCAAACCGGTGACTGCAATGGCCTCCTACAATGCCAAGGTTTTGGTGTACCACCAAACACATTGGCTGAGTATGCCTTGAATCAATTCAATAACCTAGACTTCTTCGACATATCGCTAGTTGACGGGTTCAACGTTCCACTCGAATTTAGCCCTACCTCCGGTGGGTGCCAAGGCATCCGGTGCACCGCCGATATCAACGGGCAGTGTCCGAATGAGTTAAAGGCTCCCGGCGGGTGTAATAACCCTTGTACTGTGTTCAAGACCGATCAGTATTGTTGCAACTCCGGCAACTGTGGACCCACCGACTATTCGAGGTTCTTTAAGGATAGATGCCCAGATGCTTACAGTTACCCCAAGGATGATCAAACAAGCACTTTTACTTGCCTTGGAGGAGGCGACTATAGGGTTGTGTTCTGCCCTTAGTAGTATGGAAGGTCGTCTAAATATAGAATAATGGCTTTGAGGTCTATTTACATGATTAAAAGCTATGGTGAAATAAGTTTGAGCACATGTAGCTATGTGCTCTTGTTATGTACCCTTCATAAAGATGACTGACTCTCTATATATGGAAAGTAGTAATGAAAGTTACTACAATTATCTATTTTTCCTCCTCTATTTTCTTTCTTCTTATTATCTTTTGTTTATATATGTGTGGTAAAATAAAGAATTAAAAATATGTAACTTTTTGAAAACATAAAAGTAGTATCTTTTTTTTTTATATAAAAGTAGTACCAACAGGAAATAAATTAAGAAAAAATCAACTTAGATTAGTTTGGACATATTTGTAAAAGAACTAGGTATATGCCGGTATAAAAAAGTCATTTGATATATATCGATGGTAATGCAGAAAATAGAGTAGGTCTAAAATAATTTTCAATTAAAATTGTACCTCCATAGAGCACAATAGAAAGGTAGAATTCATGTAGTAGACCCCAAATTGTTATAATTAGTAAATTTACTGTTGAAAGTTTAAAACTTATCGTTGCCTATAGATTGATAATGAGTACCGATATCAAATTGGATTAGTTGATAATCTAATGACTAAACTATACTTGTTAAATTTGGACTAAATAGATTTTTTTAAGTATATGGATTTGTTCAAAGACGGCAACTTTAATCCTAATTAAAAGATGTTTCAATAGTTAAACTTGAGTTGTCCATGGTTTCATGACGCTTGTTTTTAGATTAAGAATTAAGAGGGCATGGTCAAGGGGATATATTCATATTATTTTTTTGGTTCAACGGTCAAGGATGTCTGAATTTTCTTATTCGTACTTTGACTAATTCTCACCTTAGTCTAATCATAGGCAAATCATTCACATTGAAACTAAAATATTCATGAGAAATAATTTTTTATGGCTTGATCCTAATGGATTACCAATATTCAAAGTCAAGTCATTTTATATATGTATACTAGGGGTAACTCGTACTTAAAAGGACGGTGCAATATGAATAATTTTAAAAAAGATGTGGTGACAGTCGAATAAATTTATTGAAATCTATCATATTTTATATTATAATTATAAATAGTCTTAGGAAAAGTAGACTACAATGGTTTTTTTTTTTGTTGAGATACATGGTTAAATTACTTATTGCAAGAAAGAATCAAATATTAAAACATTAGAATGGTGCATTTATCCTTCCGTAACAAAAAAAAATAGAATGGTGCATTTATAGTAGAGGAGGTAGTACACACAAGTCGAAGAGAAGTTCATGAGAAGAAGGGAGATAAGAAATTAATAATAGCCTTTGAAAATAATAATTGACCTCTTAAAATACCACTAATGACACTAATTCAGAGATTTAATCATTTCTTTTGTGTTGATTTAGTGCTATAATGATAATTATTTATGGTAAAGTTTATCGCAACTTCTTCTAATCTCAAAAATGATAATTAAAACATTATTTGTATATGTCCTATTTGATGATCCATTCCATTATTATTGTTCATTAAATAATCATTCAATTACTATTATACACATTTACATATACCTATTTATAATCTTAATCGGATAAACACGGAATTAGTTATTAGTATATCAAAGAAATGGTGAAACATAGTTTTTCAAATTTAGATAATCAATTAATAATATTAATTAATTAAATTTAAATTTTGATTGAAGTCGTATTAAAATCCTTTCCATCTTGACCAAGAGTGGAGCCTCTGAGAAGTCTGTTGGTTTTTTTTTTTTTATGGAGTCTAGTTTGTATATGTGATCCGGATGATGATTCGATCCGAAGTAATGTTGTGTGGTTTTTAATGGAAAATTTTTTTGGGCCCGTTATACAGCCCAGTGCGTAAGACATATAAACCCTGTTGTTTTGGTGATTAGGGTTA